AAACAATGGCCAATGTAATAGGTGTTCTGTCCCCAAACCTTCTAGGTTTCTCTGTTGATGCAGTCAGACAGATAAAGCAAAACTGAAAAAGTATAAGAAGAGGTTTATGCCAGGCATTGGTGGCACACACCTTTAATCCTAGCACTTGGGGGCAGAGGCAGGTGGATCTCTGTGAGTTCGAGGCCAGCCTAGTCTACAGAGCGAGTTCCAGGACAGGCTCCAAAGCCACAGAGAAACCCTGTCGGGGGGAGGGGGGAGGCAAAACAAAACAAGTTTATTTGAACAAAGCAACTTCCAGGTGAGTTATCCAGTCCCAGAGACTGAGGCCAAAAAAGCCAAGCCAGAAAGAACTAAAACAGGGTGATTATCTAGGATGTAGGTGAGAGGAGAAGACGTGTCCACTACGAGCTAGGTTCGTGCCCAAGTATGGTCAAATGCTGGACACTTTAGGTGGTGAACTTGGGCAGCTGGTAACTTCATGGGAGGAGCAGCCATAACTGCCAAGAATGTGGAACTGGACTTCTTTGGTGCCTTCCCTTTGTTCTGGGATTCTTGGGTGGGGGGGGGGGGGTTAGAGAGCCTGGAATGGAGCTTTCTGGATCATGCAGGGGTGAGCTGGAGGTTCCAACTGAACACAGTGGGGCACCTATTTTTGATTAAACAACGTTTTATTGGAGCACAGCTGCGCTCATTTATTTACATATTTCTAGAGACAGTTTTCACGTTATGGCAGACTTGAGTAGCCGTGACAGTGTCCATCCTAACTGGAAAGCCTAGACTCAGGGCCAGCTTCAATGGCATTGTGGCCTGAACAGTTGCACACAGAGCTCTACCCTTGGGGCCCTACAAGGACTCCAAAGGGCCTACACTTGGGTACATTCCAGCCTTCTTAAAATTCTTAATAATGGTTGAACGAATAGCTCCAGTTTCCATTCTGCCCTTGGCAAGATGTGCAGTTAGTCCTGTGTAAAATATTTAACATCTGTCTTTTTATTGAGAAACCTGATGACCACTTGCTCCAGTTTGCCTCTTGGTGATAAAATGCTAATCAAAAGCAATTTGGCTGTTTATTTGGGTGCAATAGGAGGCGGCGCTTGTGGCCATCAGGTTACAGCCCTCGATTATAGAATGAATATGCCTTTCCAGTGAGAAGGTGAGAGGAAGCTGAAGTAGGAACTGAAGCTGTGACCTTGGGGGAAGCTGCTTACCTTCTGGCTTGCTCAGCTACTTTTCTTCTGCAGCCCAGGTCCACCTGCCTAGGGGATACCGCCACCCACAGTGGGCTGGGCCCAGGAATAGCAATTAGCCACAGGCCAGTCTTAGCTAGTCAGTTCCTCAACTGAGCTCCCTTCTTGCCAGGTTACTCTAAGTCACCTCACTCAAGTTCACAGCTAAGTATGACACTCCTGGATTGAAGCCAGTCCATTCCACAAGGTTCACTGAGACCGTTCAAAGACCTAGTCCTTTCTGTCGCCCAAAGTGGTAACTTTCAATCATTAGGCAATTCTTTTGTCATTGATCTCTGTATTTCTGAATTACATACTTAACATTGCTTCTTCTTTGGAAGTGGTGTGAGTCGGTGCTTGTCTTTACACACACACACACACACATACACACACACACACACACACACACACACCTCACCGTTCTCACATCTTCAGAGAATTTCTAGTCTTGTAACTGACAGCTACTTCAGTCTTGAAATAAACTGAGTCATGCTTCCCTCTGCGTGCTTTTAGTTTTCCCTGGATTAAAGCATTTTTTGTCTCTCTCTCCTTTGCTTGGTTTTCTGTGTTTTTGTCACTGTTTAAAAGCTCAGCTTCTGAACCATTGGTCCACACCCCACATCTACTCTTAACACTCACTCCAGAGGCTCAACCAACTGTGTGTTCTCAACCAACTGTGTGTTCTCAACCAACTGTGTGTTCTCAGCCAACTGTGTGTTCTCAACCAACTGTGTGTTCTGGGTAAAGATTTCCCAGAGCTGCCTTGCAGGCCACCCTCTGGACTACTGCATTTCCCACCATTGTCCTGAATGCTGTGCCTGTATGTCTGTCTGTCTGTCTATCATGTATGTGCCTTGTGGCTACAAAGGCCAGAAGAAGGTGTTGGATCCCCTGGAACTGGAGTTACAGAGGTTGTAAGCTGCCACATGGGTGCTGGGAATCGAACCCAGGTTCTCTGGAAAAGCAGCCAGCTCTCTTGAACACTGAGCCGTTTCTCCAGCCTCCAAAGACTGAATCACTATGTAGTTCAGGCTAGCCTCAGACTCCCGAGTGCTGTAATTATAAGCACTACAGCAGGCTGTTTCACTCTCTTGATTTCCTGTGTCCCAGTGGCACACTTCTCTTCTACGCTATGCCGCCTTGGAATGACCCAGAGAGTTCTAGAATGCTGATGCTCTGGCCCAGATGTGGGGTTTCCTTAAACTGGTCTGGGGTTGATCTTAGAAACTGTTATTATTTACATTATCATGACGTTGGGGATTGACTCTCTGGCATGCTGAGCACATGCTGAACCATCAAGATGCACTGTCAACCCACAAGGGACTTTTAAAAAGTCACAGATGGCTTTGATATACAGGCAAGGTTTTAACCACATTATTACATGGGAGACAGCAGGTTAGAAACCTGATACATCTGATTTGTTAGCTGTTTGTGTTTTGTTTTTCCGAGACAGGGTTTCTCTGTGGCTTTGGAGGCTGTCCCAGAACTCACTTTGTAGACCAGGCTGGCCTCGAACTCACAGAGATCCGCCTGCCTCTGCCTCCCGAGTGCTGGGATTAAAAGTGTGCACCACCACCGCCTGGACCTGTGGTCTTTTCATTTTCAAGTGTTCTATTAATTCCCTGCCAAGCCCTTACGTCTCCTCCATCCCCCACACACCCCGTCTTCTTTCTCCCATGTAGCAGCTTCTCTTACCTGTGTGGCAGAACGAGCGTAAATTGGGGGGTGTTTTTCTTTTTTTCTCACAGTTGTAGTTCTCTCCAAACATAACCCTCTCCCATTTGTCCGTTTCGGCCTCCTGCTGACTTTTTTTTGTGCTTTTCAGTACTGAGGATTTAATAAGGGTCTCATACATGCCAGGCATGCGCCCTAACACCTTGGTTCAGCTTCCTGGTTTGCAGCAGCGTTTTCTCAGGGTTCATCCTCAGGTGTCCAGTTGTGCTTTCTGCGCCGTTTTGGTACAGGAGTCTCCATTGGGCAGTTCACTGGGAGGTTCCCTGATGTCCCCATCTCCAGGTCTCTTTTGCTGGGACTAGGTAGTTTTCCAGCCTGCTGCCCAGAGGTAAAGGCTGCCTGTCAGGCTTCTAGGAGCCTGCAGGGAGAGCAGGCCATGTGGTGGGGTGTGGTAGGGTAGGGTGATGCGTGGGTGGGGTGTGTATGTGTCTCAGGGTCACAATGGATGTGGTCACACAGTGACCATTAAGCCCATCCGCCACACCCTCCCCGCAGTATCTTTAATGGTGCCTGACGGCCCCGGGGCAATAGCAGCTTCTGAAAGTGGAATTCCAATATCAACAAGCCACCCAACCAGCATTGCTCTGTGATGACTACCGGATACAGCCACTTCCTCCACGTCCCTGTCCCTTGATCCAAATGTCCATACTTCTCCTCTGGCCTCTACCCTAGACCATCCGCATCTTCCTGGCTCCCATCCTCTCTGGACCCTGGGACCAGAGTGCCTCTGTGATATTGCTTCCCTGCTTGAGACCTCTCTCTGCCTCCCATGGCCTCAAGAAATGGCCCAGTTCTTCCCCTGGCACCCAAGCCTCCATAGTAAGGCATCTAGGTCCCTTGCATCCATCTGCGGTCCCTCCCCCATCCACAACCCTGCCCGCTCTCCCAGCTCCTTGTCTGACTCGCCCTTAGACACAGCCCTGCAGTCAGACCGTGTGTAGGCCCGACCACACCTCTTCTCCCGAGGTTGCCTGTTCTCCTCGGGACCCTTCAGGGAAGTCTGCCTGTCCATGGTGTCACTGCAAGTGCGGTGCCAGGGGATGCCACCCAAGAGGTGCTGAGCTGCTGCTTGGGGCAGCAGAGGCCACCGACACTTGCATCTCTGGAAAGATTTGTTCTGGGGGATGATCATGTGACCTTTGCCCCCAGGTCAGTGAGCTTGCTCCCCATCCCTCTACCGTACACACAGACAAGGGGTGAAAACAGAGAGGCTGCCCCAAGTGTTGAGGAGACTGAACGTGACCCCCAGCTGCTCTGGCCCAAAGGGAAGCCTTTCCCAGAGAGGGGCCTGTTCCCCCAGCCACCTTCCTTCCCCAGTAACTGCTAAAAAGGCCAACTGCCAGTGGGCAGGGCAGGGAGTAGCGGGCCCAGACATAGTCTGGCGAGAAAAGATGGGGGAAGAACTGGGCAGCTGCCAGTACAGGGCACAAAGCTCTCCCAGAGCACCTGATTCTCAGCCCACTTAGAAAGGGGCGCCACCGACGGGCGGTGGTGGCGCACGCCTTTAATCCCAGCACTCGGGAGGCAGAGGCAAGCGGATTTCTGTGAGTTCAAGGCCGTGCTGGACCGATAGCCTCCAAAACAATACAGAGAAACCCTGTCTCGTAAAAACCAAAAAGAAAAAAAAAAAAAAGAAAGGGGCACCACCACCGCCAACTACAGATGGGGAAATAAGAGCTCCTGAAGTGTGTCACTCAAGGCCATCTAGGCAGAAAGCCCCACCCGCACCACGATGTCCCCCGGGACCAAGGGAATGGTGAGGGCCCCAGTCCGCAGGCAGCTGTGCTTTAATGTGGGACTCCGTGGCCTCTCTCCACTGGCCCTGGGAGGCTTTGGGATGACAGTGGGTCAGGGGCTCTTTTGAGTAGCTTTATAGAGCCTGGGGATTAAGACAAGAGCTTCCTTTCCTGGAATTTAATGGTTTCCAGAATCCCACAGCTGGACAGTACGGGAGGCACAGCAGGGTGTCCCCAGACATCTGGGAAGGGGCATTGGAGCCAGGCAAGGCTCAGCAACCCTCTCCTATGGCTTCTTTTCCAGGAACTGGTGCCCTTACCAGAAGTCTAGACTGGTCACCTTTGTAGCTGCTTGTAAAACAGAGAAATTCCTGGTCCATTCACAGCAGCCGTGTCCACAGGGAGCTCCTGACTGCCAGAGAGTCAAAGTCATGTGAGTGGGGTCAACAGGGCATTTTCCAGGCCCAGTGTGCCCACCAGAGGTGCTGAGCCCCTGCCTTCTTCCTCAGGTACCGAGTGGCCCAGAAGCCAGTGTACCAGGTTCAACAGAAGGTGCTGATGTCTGTCGCCTGGGGATGCTGCCCAGGCTTCCAGGGCCCAGACTGCCAGGACTATGGTAGGGCTCCCCAAAGCCCCTGCTTAACCCCACCCCGAAATCATGCTATTCCTCTGACTTCTGAGCTCAACACACCACGCTTCTCTTTGCAGATCCCACAGCAAACCCCGAACCCATGTCAACACCCACGGAGCCGAGTGGGGAACTCCCGGAGACTTGGGACCAGCCACATGGTTTTGAACTTGGTGTGTTCCTTACCGGAAAGGACAGAGTTTGTGTGTTTACTTCTTCTTCTTCTGACGGGCAGTGCCATCTCAGGAAAACTGTGCCCTGAGAATCAGCATGGGTTTCCTTGTGGTCCTGCACTGTTCTCGGAGAACAGGTTCCTAGGGCCCTCAGCCTACTGCCTGGGGCTGATACGTGTCCCTTTTTCTGGCCCCATTTTTCTTAGGGAGCTGGCTTTGCTCCTTGACCTACAGGAACTCCCAGGCTTGGAGGGCTTGGAGGAAGCTTTTCCACAATCTTGCACTCTGCTCCTTCCCTCAACACCGGGAACCTAGAGTCATGATGCCTACCCCGCCCCCCCAGCACAAAAGTCACCATTTACGAACTGATTTCATGGGTGGGATAGGGGATGGGTTTCATTATGTGATCAACTAGCTATTGGTTGGAGCTGCTGGGAAAGAAATTGTGGCTAAGGAAAGAACTGTGCTGATTGGTTAGTCATGTCTGCTGTGGGTGAGAGGAGAGATGATCTTTTAGAGACCTGGCTGCATTTGCCCTTCTGAGGCTAATGGCTTCTAAGTCCCAGCTCATGGGGGGGGGGGGACAACATACTCACTTGCTCTGAATCCCAAGTCTTTTATTGACTGCATTATCTGCCCAGGCCTGGTGAGTTGGCCTTTAACACTTATGTCTGGTGGATTTCCAGGCCACCCTGTCACAGAGTTCAGCGAGATTACGGTGTCACAAGAACCACAGGATCACCTGTTTCAAGATCTCCAGAATGATGCCCAGCCGGTAGAAGATGGCCTCCCAGGCCCTTGGGAGGCCCGGGACAGCAACCTCACAGTTGAGACCATAGTAGCCAATCAAACAGAATTCGGTGAGTAGCAGTCCCCAAGAAGGCACAGACTTCAGAGGCCCTACTCACCCGGCCTGGGGAGGGGTGTCTGCTGCAGCAGACTTGTGTGAAACGCGGTATCTGTTGCAGAGTTCGCTGGCCGGATGTCAGAGCCCCTGCTGCAGGCCCACATCGATGCGTTCCTGCAAGCGCACATTAGTCCCACCCTGCAGAGCTTCAGTGAGAGCTTGCACAGTCTCTCCCAGGCTGTCAGAAACTTGTCTCTTGATGTGGGAGCCAATCACCAGGCTGTCAAGATGGTCCAGGAGGGTACCGTGACCAGGGCTGAACTCCAAGAGCTGGGAGCCAAGTTTGATGCCAAGATGCAGGAGAATAACCAGAGACTGGGCCAGCTGTGGCGGGATGTGGAGGACCAGCTGCATGCCCAGCGCCGTTCTGTGCACCACGCCCTCTCTGAGGTCCACGCTGAGGTGAGCACCAAGTTCAAGGAGCTTGTCAAGGCTCAGGAACTTCCAGGGGCCAATGGCAGCCTGGCGGTGGCAGCAGCAGCAGCAGCAGCAGCAAGGCCAGAACCAGAGAGCCTGCAGGCCAGGCTGGGCCAGCTGCAGAGAAACATCTCGGCTCTGCACGCCGTCATCGAGCAGAGGGAGGAGGAGTTGCAGAGCACCCTCAAGAACATGGACAGTGTCCTGAACAGGCATGTGGATGAAATCAAGGAGCTGTACTCTGAATCAGATGAGACCTTCGATCAGATCAGCAAGGTAGAACGGCAGGTGGAGGAGCTGCTGGTGAACCACACCGGGCTCCGCGAGCTGCGGGTGATCTTGATGGAAAAGTCCCTGATCATGGAGGAGAACAAGGAGGAGATGGAGCGGCAGCTACTGGAACTCAACCTCACTTTGCAGCATCTACAGGTGGGTCACGCAGACCTCATCAAGTACGTCAAGGACTGCAACTGCCAGAGGCGCCACTCTGGCGCCGCCGACGTTATCCGGGAGGGTCAAAGGGACACCGCGCACACCCCGGAAGAGACCCAAGTGAGCCTAGATGAGCAGCACCAGCCGGACAGTTCTTCTCTGCAGGCGTTGCAAAGAACTGTGGATGCCATGTCCTCAACGATGGATGAGCACAAAGGAGAGGGTGAGCGGGCGCGGGCCGAAAGGGCCCGGATGCGGAGCCAGCTGCGGGCGCTGGACCAGGCGGTGGCAGCTCTGAAGGCTGTGGCGAACCAGACCGGCAGAGAGATACGCCAGCTGCATAGCTCCTTTGCAGCTCTTTTGGAGGATGCGCTGCGGCATCAGGCGGTGCTGAATGCCCTCTTTGGGGAAGAGATGATGGAGGAGATGTTTGAGGAGGTGGCTCGCCCTCTGCCCCTGAATTATGACCAGATCCGCCTCGCCCTGCAGGATGCTGCCAGCGGACTGCAGGAACAGGCTTTTGGCTGGGATACCTTGGCCACTCGGGTGGAGGTCTTGGAGCAGGCCTTGGAGCAGCGCCCACAGTTGGCAGAGCGACTGCAACCCAGCCACGACCCTGGGAGGGCAGAGGAAGCCACGGCTTTGGCGAAGCTGGAGCAGGAGGTGCAGCGCCTAAACTCTGACGTCAAGCAGGTTGGGCAGTGCTGTGAGGCCTCCTGGGCTTCCTCTTTCAATGGCTCCCTTGAAGATCTAAGCAGCATGCTCTCTGACACCCGGCACAGCCTGAGGCGGCACCAGCAGCTCTTCCACGGCCTTTTCGGGAACTTCCAAGAGCTGGTGGCAAGCAACATCAGCCTAGACCTGGGTAAGCTGCAGGCCGTGTTGAGTAAGAAAGAAAAGAAGCAGCAGAAGGGCCTGGAAACTTCTCGAAAGAGGGAGAAGAAGCAAGTGGTGACGTCTGCAGATGCACAGGCCCGAGGGACGCAGAAAGGTGTTCTGGACTCGGAGCTCTGGGAAGCAGGTGAGTGCTGGGGTCCTGGAGACTGTGGATCTAGGGCAGGGCTGCTCCCTTCTCCTGGGGGAGGGGAGGGCACAGGGTGAACGAAGGCAGGACTATTGGTCGCCACTGCACAGGGGCTACCTTCCTCTTCACAGGCTGTGGGCCTCTTTCTGTTTGCTTGTCTGTCTGAGACAGGGTTTCCCTGTGTAGCCCTGACTGTCTTGGCACTCTTGCTCTGCAGACCAGGCTGGCCTCAAACTCACAGAGGTTCCCCCTGTCTCTGCCCTCTAAGTGCTGGGATTAAAGGAGTGTGCCAGCACACCCTGCAGCTATGAGCCTCTTAAGCTACCTGGAGTACAGGAAGGTACAACTCTCAAAAATCAGCTGTAGTTCCAGAGCCCACGAGTCGGCAGAGGCCCTAGTCATGGAGGAGAGTAGAGTGTCTCAGCTCCTCTCCCTCACCTAGTCCTCAGCCCTGCACTAGGGAAGGTGGGCTGGAGCAGGGTCATCTAGAATGGCAGCACCCCACACGAGGAGAACACGGGCAAAGGCCCAGAGGGAGGGGGCTTTCCTAGTAAATGCGCTTGGCAGTGTAAGCGCCCTGCGGTACCTTCCCTGGGCTTTCCCGTGATGTGCTCGGTCTTAGCTGCTCAATTGCGCATTCATTGTCATCGCATCTTACCTGAAACCGAGGCTCTGGGCCACTCTGAGGCTGGCTCTGGGGTGCAGGAGGGCCACAGAAGGCTCTGAGGAGAAGAGTCGCCACCTGGGAGCTTCCCTTCCCCAGCGCAGGCTCAGCATGCAGGAACGGGGGGGGCTCTCCTCCATCCCCCAGCACCTCCAGAGAGCCTCATGCACTTAGACTACCCACCCCCATCTCTTTCTCCTGTGAATGGCACAAGCCCCAACATGCCAATGACTAACTTTCACCTTTTGCCTGACAAGGCCAGGTGTTGGTTTAATCCTGAAGCATTTTTTTATTTCAGAAAGTAATTTTTCTCTTTAAAAACTCTTTTCTTGCAAGAAGGCCATAGAGCTTGAATGTTTGTCCTGAAGGGCAGTGCATGCTCTGTGCATAGCCCTTCTATCTTCTGAAGCCCTCAGGGTCTCCTGCTGAGGTGGACTCACAGATACAGCCAGGCTGGAGGAACCCATGGCCCACAGCAGACGCTGTCGGGCAGCCTCCTTTCACCAAGGCAGGAGCGCCATCTGCTGGATGTTTGGGGGACTGAAGCACCAGCTCTCGGTATTCCCTGTGGCACAAACAGGAAAGCTATTCATAAACAAGTCTCATAAAAGCTTCCAGACACAGAGAGAAACAAAATTGTGTCATTCCCAAGGCTATTTCTGGATTCCGAGGCAAAAATATGCATTGCAGTCTGAGACTCAAGTCACTAACTGCTTTGTAGACTTCTCTGAAGTTTTGATTCTGTTTTCTGAGGAATGGGGGCTAGGGCTCTGTGCAACATTTGGAAATCATTAAAACGACTAACCAGGGCGGGAGAGATGGCTGCTCCTATTATAGGGGACCTGGGCTCAATTCCCAGCACCCACGTGGCAGCTCGCAACCATCTATAACTTCGATTCCAGGGGATCTGATGACCTTTCCCGGCCTCTGTGGGCACCACCCATGCACATGGCACATAGACATACATGCAGGCAAAATACCCACACACATGAAATAATAATTACAAACAGTTTAGAGGACTAGCCAGAGGGGGCCCCCTTGCTCAGGAAAGGTCTTATTGTGTAGCCCAGATTGGTTTCAAAATCAAGGTTTTACTGCCGCTGGGTTAGAATCACAGGGTGGACTACCATGCCTGACTCAAGGGTTTCTCCTTCCTCTGTCTTTGTGCTCTTGTGCCCACGGCTGAGAAGAACCGCCATTCCTGCTCCCAAGTACCTCCCCGTGTTAACATTATTTGGAAGATAGGTAATGTTCTCTATTTTCCCCGGATGTCTCAAGATCCCCAGGAGACATGTGCGGGGGATGACCTATGATACAGCACTTGCCTAGCATGTGTGAGGTCCCATGTTCCATCCCTAGCACTGGTTCGCAAGGAAGGAAGGCTCCTGGGCAGGTAACAGACATCCGGGAGGTGGATACCCGGGTTTCTAGCATGGCCCACCAAGCCGCAAGCCTTGGGTAGCCAAAGACACTCATCTCTCTAGAGAGTTGAAAGGACAGGATCCAAGAAGAAAGTGCTTTGTTGAAGATCAAAGGAGAAAGAGCCCCGGTCAGCCAGACAACACATCTGTGTGTCCCTCCTCTCCCACTCTTTGAAATCACACTGTCTGAGAGACACCTTTGGGATGTGTCCTGCTTCTAGTGCAATTAAGGAGAATGGATAACTCACTGAGTATCTTCCCCTCCCAGGCTCCCCTGTGGCTTTCTATGCCAGTTCTTCAGAAGCGGCGAGCGCTCTGCAGATGGTGAAGTTCAATACCACAGCCATCAACGTGGGCAGCGGCTACTTCCCCGAACACGGCTACTTCCGAGCCCCCAAACGTGGCGTGTACTTGTTTACAGTGAGCATTACATTTGGCCCTGGCCCAGGCGTGGGGCAGCTGGTGTTTGAAGGCCATCACCGGGTTCCGGTCCACAGCGCAGAACAGAGGGGTGGGAGCACAGCCGCTACTTTTGCTATGGCAGAGCTGCAAAAGGGAGAAAGAGTGTGGTTCGAGTTAATCCAAGGATCCGTAACAAAGGGGAGCCAACCACACACTGCATTTGGGGGCTTCCTGATATTCAAGACCTGAACCCTGGGCTCAGCTTGCATCAGACATGCTAGACTTGCGTGCTGTGTGTAGACGGAGGCTCTGGCCAGCGATGGCTGGAGAACTTGTAGTGGCCTAGCTCTTTCCTGGACGCCTTCTGCAGAGATCCTTCTTTTGAACACAGAGGAGGGGGAGGCCAGGAATGCTGCTCCCCGGACTGCGCCTGCGCGGTGCCTAGAGTGGCGCTGAGCTTCCCATGCCTTCCCCAATGGCACGGCTTGTCTTGGTTCTAAGCCACTCCCTCAATTCCACAGGTTACTTGTTTGTTTTGGCATTTTGCTCCTTCTGTGGTTGGAAACTTCTGTACATTTACATTTTTTCTATGTCTTCTTCTCTATGTCAGGAAGTCGTTTCCTAGGAGGAATGTTTACAGTGACGGTGTAGCTCATTGAGCGGTTGGCATGTACAAGGCCCTGGATTCTCTTCCCAATACCTCAAAAAACTTGAAAAGAAAAATGGAGATTTTTTTCCTTTCTTTCTTTCTTTTTTTTTTTTTCTTTTTTGGTTTTTCGAGACAGGGTTTCTCTGTATTGTTTTGGAGGCTGTCCTGGAACTAGCTCTGTAGACCAGGCTGGCCTCGAACTCACAGAGATCCGCCTGCCTCCGCCTCGCAAGTGCTGGGACTAAAGGTGTGCGCCACCACCGCCCGGCTTTGATTTTTTTCCTTTCTAAAATTGGAAATAAGTCTCTAATTACTACAGGAAAACCAGTTCAAAACAGCCTTTCTGGACTTAGAAGGGGGCTAATGTCTGGCTGAACCAATTATAGGAAATGAAATTAGTATCTCTAGGCTGGGGTTGCAGCTTAACTAAAATGCTCAAGTCCTGGATTCAGTCCCCAGCGCTGAAAACACTGGGCATGGTGGTGCCTGTGATCTCAGCACACGGAGGAGGCAGCAGGAGGCCCAGAAGTTGAGGACCATCCTCAGCTGTACAACAGTGCAAGTCTCAAAGCAACAAAAGAAGTTAATAATATTCTTTTAACTTTCAGCCATTCTGTCTTTATCTGCATATTTAATTTTAATTTCTTACCTTTTCCTCCTTGCTTCACTCAGTGTGGCGGCCAAGAGATGTCAACCAGCAACAAGGCTGGGTATGACCCTTGCCCCCTTCATTCTCCCACTATCTGACTGGCCACGCCCTCCCCGGCATCTCTTAGGAGGGAGGAGGGAAACTGAACTCCCCTGATAACTTTGGAATAAAATGATGCCCTCCAAAGCTCTGCCTTGCTTACTGCTGGGAGGGAAAAGTTTGAAGCCCTTGGGGGAGTGGGACAAAATGAAACCAGGACAAAGGAGACTCACCATTGTAGGCATATTTAACTATTACTACTCAGTTAATTGTACACACTCTCTAGAGGCCGCCTCACTAGGCAGGGACATGGTCAGTAGACAGGACAGTGAAGAATGACAGTTCTCTCTGAAGCATCTGCATGCGGTTTTCAGGTTTGCAAGTCTCTGGACCCTACCACAGGCTCAAGAAAGCAGCCACGAGAAAACAAAGCAGGCTTTGGTAGAGCTTAGTGTTCCTCGGAAGGGACCGTCGCCGTATTAAATGGGTTTGACTTGGTAAGGGGTTGCCAGAACTTCTCATTTCCTGCTGAGGTCCTCAGTTCAAATAACTGAGAATTTACTTACCAAGCTTTACACACTCAGTGTGCTGAGTACCAGTGTCTCACGAACAGTAAGTCAAGTCACTCTGTCACTGACAGTTTGACCATGGGCTAAGCCACAATTCTTCCACACATTAACCCAGCCAGCGCTTTCTGGGATCTTGACCACATCTCTGAATCTTGCTCACCTTGGCGCAGCTCTGCTGTGGAGGCTATTTCTGAACTAGGGCATGTGTGGTTGGGCCCCCGCAGACCAAAGCCTGGGGAGCCATGTGTGTGGCAGACCACCCTTGTTGCCCGCAGACCTGGGCATCTTGTGCTCCATGTTGCTGTTTCTGGCCAGTCCCTTCTGAGGACCAAGCTGGGATGTTAGCGCAATGCAGTCTCAGCACTACAGACTTCCACCAGGATCCCTGGCTTACAATACAGTGTGAATCAGTCCCCGAGAAAGGGTCCGTGTTGCCAGCCCTCACAAGAAGGTAATCAATAAAAAGCACTAGACGGTCAGGTCTTCCACTTCTAGAGGGAGAAATAATGGTTCTTTGTAGCAAGGGGCTTTCTAAGCAATAAACACACCTGATTACATCTGACAAAGCCTTAACATCAAGTTTAAGTCACATTTTCTGTTTAGACGTATTTCTGATTAGGACCCCAAATCATTAAACATTTTGTGTGTAGGCAGGTGTAATGTCTGTGTTCATTTGGGTATGTGGTTATGTGTGGGCATGCAGGGGCCAGAGGTTGACACTGGGTATCTTTTTTTCTATTATAATGAGACAGGGTTTCTCTGTGTAGCCCTAGCTGTCCTGGAACTAGTTTCATAGACCAGGCTGGCCCTGAACTTACAAAGATTCACCTGCCTCTGCCTCCCGAGTGCTGGGATTAAAGGATTGCACGACCACTATCCAGTGACCCTGGGTATCTTACTCAGTCATTCTGCACCTTACTTTTTGAGGCAAGATCTCTCACTGAACCTGGAGAAGATGGACTCCTGCCTGTGTCCCCACCCCCAATGCTAGCATTACAGATACACATTGTACCCAGCCTTTTACAGAGATGCCCGGGGGAGCCAAATTTACATTCTCAAGCTGGCAAGGGAGGCACCTTACCAACTGAACCATCCCCCGGCCTCACACAAGGTCAGTAAGAATTTCAAAATTTTGATGGAGTCTCATCTGTATTGAGATACCTGACACTAGGTGGAAACTTTCCCAGTGCTCTCCAGATAGACAGGAAACTGACCTAGGGCAGCTTAAAACACTTGTGGCCCCCTGAAAAGACAATGAAAGAGCACCAGAGCCCCATTAAAATGACTTAGTGATTCTTTGCAAAGATAGGAAAGATGTAATAAAATTAAATAGCAACATGGAATCCTAACCCCGAATATTAGGATTGCTGGAGAGCCTCAAGTTTAAACTGTCCCAAATCACTTGGGAGTTCTGGGGCAGAAGAAATAGGACAGCTGCTGGCCCTCTGGAGGCAAAAAGCTGAATCACAGGTGACAACAGTGATGTCAGAGTTAAGTCACCATATCCTGGCTAGTAATCAGTCTTATAATCAAGGACACACACTCACAATGGACTGACAGTCTCTCAAACTGAGTCGAAATAAGCTTCTTTCAACAGATTCTATTCAGAATTTCATAACAGCACTGTTTTACGAAAACATGAAATGGGGGCTCCTTCCGGCAAGGAAGGTGCAGCGGCTGACCCTAACTAAGCATGCGGAGTAACATAACCCAGTAATGAATCTTTTAAGATGGAGCCGTGTCGGGCTCCCTACAAGGAGGTGCAAATGAGAACTTATTGCAAGCTACCTGGCAGGTGACAAGTCTCAATGTAGGCAGGAAATAAGGCATTGTGGGCTAAAAGCAAACCAAGCCGGGGTTTCCGTCTCACTGCAGCAGGAACATTGTAAGGAGAGTTAAAGGTCCCTTATCAAATGGAAGGAATAGCCTCGAAGAGCATAACCACACACAGCGCAAATAAAATGTTTGATGATAGAACAGTATCAAGAGCCTTAACTTTCCTTTATTGCAAGTAAAATTGTAATATACATACCTGTATTTAGGATCTAACAAAAAATAGGGTTCATGTACAATGATGCTCAATATGTACATGAAGATACTACTCAGGCAGGGCTAGGGGATACAGAGTTTGAGGTTAACTTGGGCTATAAAAGCAAGAACCACTTTTATCCTTTCTCTAAAAATGAAAAAATAAACCACAACAAAAAATAATTGAAATAAAAGGAGATCATAAAAATAAGTTATTTCCTTTATGTGGTCACATGCTTGTTTTTGAAAGTTTTTTTGTTCTTGAGACATGGTCTGGCTGTCTTGGAACTATGTAGACCAGGCTGGCGTTGAATTCAGAGAATTCACAAAGGCCACCATACCTTGCTTGAAAATTGGGTTTTATTTCTTGTTTTCATTTTTTTTCAAGACATGGTTTCTCTGTAGCTTTGGAGCCTCACTGTGCAGATCAGGCTGGTCTCAAACTCATAGAGATCCACTTGCTTCTGCCTCTGCCTCCCAAGTGCAGGGACTAAAGGCGTGCACCACCACCCACACCCTGTGGTAGGCACCTACAGTCTCTACTACTTAGGAGGCACAGGATTGCTTGAGTTAAATTTAAGAGTATCTTTTGTGAGAATGGAATGGAATGAAATAATGCATTTGGTCTTTTTTCTTTTTTTCTGAGACAGAGTTTCTCTGTGTAGCCCTGGCTGTCCTGGAACTTGATCTGCAGATCAGACTAACCACCTGCCTCTATGTCCCCAAGTGCTGTGATTAAAGGCGTGTGCCGTCATGCTCTGCCAATATATGGTGTTTTCAACTGACACATAATAGAATACTATGATCTTAATGGTATTTTCAAAAATGCAGGAAACATTCAAATGTAAATAGTGGGGCTGGGGAGAAGGCTTGGCAGTTAAGAGCACTGGCTACTCTTCCAGAGATCCTCAGTTCAATTCCCAGCAACCAAGAGATGGCTCACAACCATCTATAGTGGGATCTGAGGTCCTCTTTGGATAAAGTCAATAGGGCACTCATACATATAAAATAAATCTTAAAGAAAAAGACAATCGAATGTAAATAGTGGTGTCTGTCAATAAAACGGAGTAGTTTATTTGCTTTATTCTTTCTTGTTTCCCAAAAGTTCTGTCATAAATACACATTTTTATAACCAGGAAACAATGTTTTATTTTTTTATAGAAGGAAAAAACTCCCCTCACTATAGTAGGTTCATTATCTCTACATAAAGGCAAAAACATATGGCCACTTACCTAGCCATGTTCCGTGCTGGGTTTCTGGAAGCTGAAAAGCATGTTCAGGAACGTATATATGTACACTGACTTACTTATTATAGAATCTCAACAAACGACTTCTGATACACAATAAATCCAAGAACAGCATCACAAAACACATCACTGAAGTATACTAAAATAAGGTTATTTACTGAAAAATGATACATTGGACATAATCTGTATATAGAACAAAGCAATTAATGGTAAACTTAATAAGGCACCTTTTAAATCAGATGCTGTACAAAATACATTTAGTGTGTTACATATCAAAGATGAATCCATATTTTTGGTGTTTTACAATTGCATAATAAAAATGCTTCCTTTAACCTGTCAATGCCTTATATACAGTTTCCCTAAGCTATAATATTTTCATTTTATACAATATATATACTACACTTTAGCTTTTAAGTGGGAAGAACAAAGGTCACTAAAGAGCTTAAATAAAATTCCACTGAAAGAGTACAGAGTACAACCTAAAATTATAGGGTTATGTCTAATTCTTTGCAAAAGGCATATTCATAAGCTTTCCTTATGGGATGATCCTTCCTGTGGATTCACACACTGCACCAGAGGAACAAGTTCTGAGGAGAGCAAACTGTCACTGCTTAATATCTGACCAGTCAACTTCTGTTATTACCAAAAGGGCTGCATAGCCTTCCTTTCTACATGAATTACACTTCTGTTGAAATTATCTTAGACATCTGGGACATTTAAAAACAATACATATCTGAAAAACAAGTGTTTCACTAAGGAAATCTGCCCTGGAATAGACTACTCAATATCCAACTTGATCTTGGGCCAAACCAGAGATGCATGGTTCTTGGAAAATTACTGTCTTTTTATTCTAAACAAGAAAAACATCTAAGAAGAAAAAAATATTGACTATCACTAGAGTGAGTGAATAAAAACCAGCACATTTCAGGACAACAGCTGATAAAAGCTCTGTCACTTTATAGGATTAGGAGCGTTTCTGGATAACGTAACATGCTGACTGAAGTATCTTTTATTACAATATTTCCAGAGAAATAGGTTCTAATTTTATATTCAGTGCTGTAGAAGCCTCAGAGAATCAAGCCGGGCAAATCTTAATGTGCCCCGTACCCCAGCAACTCCCGACCATACAAACCACTCATGACATCTTCCTGGATCATTTGGCATTTATTTAGGTAGTTTGGGTTTTGGCTTTTATATTTTAATGTTTTAAAGGGATGGCTGACACTAGCCATATTTTGTAAACCCTAGATTCAAAGTGGAATCAGGTTTTTACAAGTAATTAATACACAATACTTTCTTTTACCAGTCGGTTGTATTATTTTTTAAGTTACATTTGTGTTTGAATATGTGGAGTGCATGATGTGTGTTGGGGGTTGTGCCACAGAGCATGTGGATGTCAGAAGACAATCATGGGGTAGTTGGTTCTCTCCTTTCACAGAGATTAAAGTGCGGTTGGCAGGCTTGGCAGCAAGTGCCTTTACCCACTGAGCCCTCTCATTGGCCCTAAGGGCTAACATTTAAATATTTCACTTAACTGAAATTCAAATTTTAAAGTAAGAGGGAAGAGAGGAAAAAACAAGTTTAATGCAACTTTAGATTCTAGGATTCCAAATAAAGAATATAGCAGCATTTTCCTTTTAAATGTTACTATTTCTAATGAAAGGCAGCTTGGGAAGGCAGCAACTGGAGTACTCACTGTCTGCCCTACCATTAACTCCTGATAGCCCTTTTTCTTCAGACCAAGCTCATCAGAACAATCATTACAGTGGCCTCCATACACCATTCAAGCACGTCTAAGAACGAAGCCTGCCATTCTTCAGGTTTATCATCAAGATGATAAACCCTTTTTAAGACTTAAGTTTATTCAGGCAAAAATATATCCAGGTTAAATTGGCTTAGGTAACTCAGATATCCTATGTGTTCTCAGGTTTTGGTTACACTAGATGAAACTCATTAAACAAAATAGTCAAAACAAGTCTCAAATTTATAGAATAGGATGTGTAGGTATTACATTAAGTTTAGTTATAAATGAGTAGATGGACAGCCTCCCATTTAATTTAAAGCATTTGACTATATTAAAATACAATCACCTTTAATTCATGTTTCATCCAAAGAGACAATGCCACTTGATCCATTTATGGCTTGCTCAGAATAAACATTTAAATAGTAGGACACCAGCATGTAAGTTTGAACCAGAACTGTTCTTTGAGATAACAAGGCCACTATAAAAACCAGATCATTTTATTTAATAATAGCTGCTCAGTGTAAATATGGGTAGTGACCAGATACTGGGCACTTCTGATTCTTTATCTTCACAAGTTAGGGACCAGAAACGGTAAAACCAAATTTCAAAATATTTAGGTATCTAAAATACATTCACCAGTTACTGACAAATTTACATTAGCTGACATCCTTCATAAAAGAAGTATGAGGCGATATCTTAATAAAGTTTTTGACTGAAGTTTTTAAATGCATGAATTCTGAAATTCATACGTAGTTCTACTTTGAAACATTTCCCCCACTAAAGATCAGATGTAAGATCCATGTGAGCTGTTTTGTATAGAATTAAGTATGTGTGTATGTACGTATGTATATATGTAAAATATGGCTGTAAAGATGGTTATGTAAGTCTTAAAAATAAAAGCACATTACACATGATAAACAACTTCCCTTTTAAGAGGCACTGAGAGCAAAGACTTCAGAATTTGATCACAGACATGCATGTCGTTATCAGACACAGTAAGGCTGACTCCAGAAAGAGGCATTTTTCTTTCAAAGTATGGCTCAAAGCAGTGAGTTTCAACTCTGGACAGGTGTTTCATTAAAAAAAAAATTACCAAAAAAGAAGCCAGAATGGTGATAGAAGGAAAACAGTCCAAATTTATGGACACTTTAAACTGATTTGGCCTTTACAACTATTACGTTAAAAATAAAGTTGATGGAGGAGTTACTACAGTTACAAGGTAGATGACTTTTATGATATTGGCGATTGTTGATCAGATATTGCATGTTTAAACCACCAGCCACAAAACCCTCCTGAGCAACCATACATTCTTTTCTTCTAAGCCCACGGCAGCAGAGGAATCCTAGTGTGCACATCAAAGGCACGGTGCACCACCACGAACCAGGCAGTATCCCAAAGAGATCATAATCTACAGGCTGTTCACAAAGACAAACGGATGCTTCCTCTTACAGAAGGAAATGTCTCTCTCCATGTCTGCTGAGCTCATCAGTTCTCTCAAGGCTTTCACAGAAAGCAACACTTTATGGACAGGACACTGGGTATCCAGAGTTAGACCAGAGGCTTCTTACAAGATTGGAGTCTTGATGCAGTTCATAAAAACAGAAACACATAACAGGGCATCAAAACTACATTTAAAACAAAGCTACCCGTCCATGTAAAGAATGGCGTGTTTGGAGTCCCAATCTTGTATTCTGCAGAGTACTGAAGGGTTCACTGTTAGCAGCCCGTGAAGATGTGGCGGGAAAGTCTGAAAAGCCGACATCCTATTCCATGCTAATCACCCCTTTTCTCGGGTGAAGCTATTGCAGCCTAGATTCTCCCTCACAATGGTTTAACTGTCAAATCTTTACATCCTGGGATTCAACCATTTTTGCAAGTGTCTTCTTGATTCTCAAAGCTGTGAGTCTGGAGGCTGGATTATGGGCCCAGCATTCTGACATCAGCTTCAAAACTGCTCGAAGACACTAAAGAGAAACGTAAAGACAGTGTGGTGAGCAGAGTAACATGGCATTCACTGAGCACCGCACAGGGTTTGCCTGCAACTTACTTCATCACTGTTCCAGCGGTTGGACACGACTGGCCGCAAGCGTTTGACACACACAACCTCACGCATATCTTCATAGGATGGATCACTAGGCACCATGTTGTAATATGGTAATTGATATTCCTCCACTATTCCTGTAGGGGGCGAGAAGGCACAAACAGGGTAGGTCAATACACAGCACCTCTCACTGAACTACGGAACTAACAACAGATTTGTATATAAACAAGAAATATGTCCTGGATGGTTCGCTTTAACAAATACATGTTTTTCTATTATTTATGACCTGTTATTTTCCTGGCTTCTGACAGGGTGACAGTCTGTCAACAACGATACATTGTTTCCTTTGGGGGTAGGGCACTTGAGATCTGAGACAAGAGGACTGTGATTCAAAGCCAACCTGGGTTACAAGTAATGAAACTCTTAAACACACACACACACACACACACACACACACACACACACACACACACACACAAAGGGAAGGAGAAAGGAGATTTTCTTGAAATTTTTAGTGTAATATCTATTTACTTGTTTGTTCCTACTAGTGAACGTCTTTATTACTCTCTAGTGCAAGAGAGTCTGACCATTACCTGTGACAAGCTCATAAAGTAGGCCCACTACTGTTCTCATTGAAAGGGTAACCCTTGCCTCTTGTCTGGGACCCTGAATGGTGAGTCATTCTCAATAGAGGACGTCGCCTCTCAGGGGTTAGTAGTTCACAGACTAACTTCACGGTAAACTCTGATAACCTTCAGATGAGAGAGACTGAGCTTCTTTGGATGACAATGCCATGCAGTCACAGATGACTGAGGAGGAGCTAAACGCGTGTGAGAATAAATATACTAGGGAGGGATACTGGAGCATCTCAGCTCTTTCCTCTTGGATGACTGTAAGGCATTTTTACATTGAAACATGTGAGTAGTCAAGACAACTTTGTGCGAGACTTAGGGTAATTCTAGGGAAACCACAGGACCTGAGAGCGGTCCTAGGAAACCCTGACAGGTGACATATAAGTTAGGTATTACTTTTTAAATGACAGGTAAACAAACATAATCAAAACCACTATTCAAACTCCTACCTCCTGTAATACAACGACGAGCCATCTCCCAAATGATTAAGCCAAAACTATAGATGTCAGCCATGATGTAGGGCTGGAAATGGTTTTTATTCAGGCTTTCGTCAAGCACTTCTGGAGCCATGTAGCGCTTGGTGCCCACTCTGGTGTTCAATGGTATGTCAACTTCATTCGTATCACTAAGGCAGGAGGAAGACCATGGTCATACTGAGGGCCAACAATAGCTCAATCTGTACATTTTTATAAATATTTTTCTATCCAAATTCCTATATTCTTTACCACAAATCCTTGGGGTCAGATGTATTAGGAAATTTAGGACCTTTATATACTTTACATGCTGCATATTATATAACATCCCTAGCAGGGTCTGGAACAGTTATTCTAAGCCTTGGTACCATGCCTGCCACAAATCACTAACTCTGACTTTTGCACACTAAGCTGGATTAACACAAGTACCTTTCATAAATTTGGCCAAGGATCTATCACCAAGGAAGTTCTGCATTTCTCAAAAGGTCTACGGGGTGGCACAGCTGGTACAGTGCTTGTTTGGCTAGTGTACAGGAGACCCTCAGTCCCATCCCCTGCACCACATAAACACAGCACAGTGATCCAGGTCTATAATCCTAACACTAAGCACCAATGAGGTAGGAGCGGGATGATCAAAAATTCAAGGTCATCCTTGGCTAAATAGTTGGCTCCAGCCCAGCTTGGCTACATGTGATCCTGTCTTAAGAAAAAGAAAAAACGCAGTATTTTATGAAAAAGGACAGATAGTTACATCTGTAAATTGAATATGAAAATATAGGAGGAATTGTTTATTGTTACCATTTTTATACAATGAGCTTAGCATTTCCCCCCCCTTTTGAGACAGGGTTTCTCTGTATAGCCCTGGCTTTGCTGGAACTCACTTTGTAGACCAGGCTGGCCTCAAACTCAGAGATCCACCTGCCTCTGCCTCCCGAGTGCTGGGGTTACAGGCATGCGCCACCACTGCCTGGCTTATATAAGCTCAGCATATAAATACAGAATTATATTTTATTTTTCATGGATCCAATCTATTTAGTTATAAATAAGTAAAGTGATATCTATATAATAGTCATTCAGCAATAAATGATTTATTAGCTTTCTGGGTTTTGAAATGAATTTTAAACTTGAAGGTGTGATGCTTTGTTACTTGTACTCCTAAGTCTGGGAGGTCCTGGAAACTATTTTCCCTGGAGACTGACACAAAGAATTGTATGTGTTATGAAACGCCTGTGGTGGTTACTCTTTACTGTCATCTTGACTAGATTTGGAAGCTACTTTCTGATTATAGGTGCAGCTATATGAGCAGCTACCTCACATTCCCACCATGACGCTTTCTCCTTTCATAATGGACTACAACCTGAAAACATGAACAAAACAATTCTTAGTTTTTTGTTTTTGTTTTTGTTTTTTTTTCGAGACAGGGTTTCTCTGTATTGCTTTGGAGGTTGTCCTGGAACGCACCCTGTAGACCAGGCTGGCCTCAAACTCACAGAGATCCACCTGCCTCTGCCTCCCAAGTGCTGGGATTAAAAGTGTGCGCCACCAACGCCCCAAAACAATTCTTTCTTTCCTTAAAGTTGCTTTTGTTGGGCTTGCGCCATAGCTCAGCCATTAAAGGTTAAAGACAAAGTTGCTGTTGCCATTTCTTGTCACATCAACACAAAACATGGCATATGAAGTTGGTTCTCAAGGACAGGCCCGGTGGGTAAGAATACTTGTTCTATGTACCCCCAGTAACGTCACTGCTATGGCAGAGAAATGAGACTTTCTCTGGGACTGCGCGACACCAGCCTAGCTTCAGGATTAGTAACGGGCATCTAAGAGCACAATGCTGAAGGTGCTCCTCTGGCTTCTGCCGTGGGAAACGTGGCAGTGTGACTGATATGCCTGCAGCAGGGACTCATGGGAGGGATGTGGGAGAGCTTGTGTTTGCAGGCTGGAGAAGCCTGTGAGGGTTGAGAGCAGAACTTACGGGGCCACTCTGATAGGAGTCCGGAAGACCAGAGCCCTGAGTGAAGTGCAGAAAGTGAAGTTCGTGATGCTGTGGGGACAAGGACTCTACTGAGAGCCAGGCAAGAGACTACTTATGCTTTCCTTGGGAAGAGTAGGGCTGAGATCTTCCTAGGTCCTGAAACACTCACGCAAGGATGAATTAAAAACAATGAAGTACGGGCTGGAGAGACAGCTCAGCTGCTAAAAGCATGCTGCTTTTTCAGAGGACCTGAGGTTAGGCCCAGCTTCAGGAGGTTTGATGCCCTCTTCTGGCCTCTGCCGGAACTGTATGCATGTGATACATAGCTATCCACACATGCAAAATATCCATACACATAAAAGTAAAAAACTAAATCTGGGTGTGGTGACACACACTTTAATCCCAGCACTAGGGAGGCGAAGGCAGGCAGATCTGAGTACGAGGCCAGCCTGGTCTACAGAGTCAATTCTAGGATAGCCAGAGCTACACAGAGAAACCCTGACTCAAAAAACAACTACTGCCCCAACAATGAACTCATTTTTCTTTAAATATCCATTTTATTTGTGTTCGTGTGTTCACATGTGCTATGTGAGTACAGGTCTCTGCAGATGGCAGAGAGGGCAGTGGATTCCCTGGAGCTCCAGCTATAGGTGATTGTGGGTCTCATATGGGCGCTAGAAACAACAGTAAGTGTTCTTAACTACTGAGTCATCTCTCTAAGCCCACGAACTAAGTTCCATAGCAGAGGACACCTGAAGACAGCATGACAAGCTGTGGCATGGGTCATTCTTTCTTGTGTTGCGAGTGGGCACATGTGTGGAGGTCAGAGGACAATTGCAGGAGTGAGTTCTTCCTTCACCACTTGGATTCCAGGGACAGACCACTGCAGCCTTTACCCACTCAGCCATGCCACTGGACCGTACTCATTTTCTCAAAGGACTATAAAATTATTGGCTACTGTTCACCATTATATACAATAAAGTTAGTAATATGAAGTTAGGTAACATTCCAATACTTCCAAACTATATTCCTGACTTCTGCTGAACAAATACAAACACACAAAAAGGTAGAACCTAATCAGGCAGTGGTGGCGCATGCCTTTAATCCCAGCACTCAGGAAGCAGAGGCAGGCGGATCTCTGTGAGTTCGAGGACAGCCTCCAAAGCCACAGAGGAACCCTGTCTCGGGGAAAAAAAAAAGGTAGAACCTATATAGAAAGAATGAATTAGGTTAAAAAAAAAAGCATATAGGTCAATAATTTACACTGCAATAAATATTTTGCTCACTCACTTATGGCAGCCAAGTCCTAACCTGCCAACATGCCTAATTATATGATTACATTTTCATGAAGCACCTTTACTATTCCACAAGTCCTAACCTTTAGTGCACTGACCTGAACTCTGTGAAGGACTGACTCACTGAAGTCTGGCTTGGGTCAATTCAGTAAATCCAGCCTAGTTTCTCTAAGACAGGGAGCTACTGACAATGGTAAAATTCTGTCTTTCACAGATTGTGCAAAATAAGTCATTATATACATGACACTATATATTTATGAATATACTATATTATATAATCATGAATTTAAAATTTCCCAACCAAAACTTGCAATTAACTATTAAATACAGTTAACTATTAACTACAGAATCATCTAATGAGAAAAGTATGGTTTCAGGAAAAATTTTTATTTAACTGTACTCCAAAATGATCCTATAGAGAAGAACCTTCTCAGTTTGAGTGCCAAGGCACAGGCAGGCCACTGAGTACAGCTGTGGCAGAAAGGGGCCAGGCGCACTAAGTAAAGAGAGCAGAAGAATTCGCTGGAGTCACCATGTGGTTCAGCAAACACAGAAATACAAGTCACATGGCCATGGAGACTTTATCAAGGTTCTTCAAAAGAATACGCAGTAGGGTTGAATTCCCTAAAATAAGAGATCTGGGAAGTTGGAGATTCTAGAACTATGAATGTCTACTGAAGAAAAGCTGCAAGTATGGAATAGAGCCAGCCTAAGAGAGAGGGGCTACATTTACTGCAGGCAGAAAAACAGGATGGATGCTGCTATCCAAGTTCACTGGGGCCCAAACGATGCCATCACAAGCACCAGGCACCAGATGTGGAGTTGCAGGGCCAAGCGGTTGTTTTCAGGTTTCAGTCTTGCTTTGGTCTAGTTTCCTTGCTACGGGTGTATTCTTTCCTTTTGGAATGGAAATGTTTATTCTGTGACATAGTATATTGGAAATATCTACCTTAATTTTGTTCTCATAAAGGGCTCTCAGTTAAGGCATTGTTCCAAGTGTATGAGAATGTCTGACTTTGAGCTTTTGTTATTGTTGCTGCTTTGTTTATATGGGTGTGTGTGTGTGTGTGTGTGTGTGTGTGTTTTAACTCAAGGTATCTCTATTATGTACCTCTGGCTGTCCTGGAACTCACTATGTAGACCAGGCTGACCTCAAACTCAGAGAATTCACATGCTCTGCCTCCCGAGTGCTGGGATTAGAGGTGTATACCATCACACTTTGCACTGAACCTGGCTTTAAGCAACATTAGAACTATTAAGGCTTTAGGGACTCTTACAAAGAGCTAAATCCATTTTGTCTGAATACCATGAGGTAACTCATGAATGTTGATAATCAAGGGTGGAATATTATGACTTAAATGTCATGAGTCTGGGTGTCAAGTTGGCACGAAGCAGACCTGTGGTGCTTAGCTGTCTGTGTGGATGGATTTGGGATCTTACATTTAAGACACACAATTTTGGTGTGTCTTTTCAGTTATTCCTAGAGGTGTCAGTAAGGAGGATGACCTAACCTGATGTAGGCAGCACCAGCTGGAGCCCAGACGGAAAAACAAGGGGAAACTCAAAGCAATCCAAGCCTCTGCTTTTGACCTCACGCATTGGCACGAGCCACTGTAGGCTCCTGTCACTGCGTTCTCCCTGCCATGATGGACTCACGGAACCCTTAAACCACCAGCCACATTAAGCCTTTTCTTCCTTAAGTTGCTTTTGGTCAGGTATTTCATCTTGGCAAATAGAAAAAAAATAACACAACATCTGATGAATACTTAAGCCAACAAATAACATACTGATGCTTGCTTCAGCAGCACATATACTAAAACTGGAACAAAACAGAGAAGGTTAGCATGGCCTTCAATGAGTACTACCTGCCCCCCAAAAGTCACATGCCTTTAATTCCAGCACTGGTTGAGGCCAGTAGATCTCTGTGAATTCAAGGTCAGCCTGGTCCACAAAGAGTTTCAGACCAGCCAGAGTGACATAGTGAGCCCCTGCCTCAAAATAAACAATAACAAAAACTCATTTATTATTATTATTCAGATGCATGAATGTGTGGCTGCATGAGTTTATGTGCACCAAATACAGGTGTCCACGGAGGCCAGAGCCCCTGATCTGGAGTTATAGGTTGTTGAGATTGGAGCTATAGGTAGCTGTGTTAGGAAGCAAACTTAGGTCCTTGCAAGCATAGTAGTGCTAAGTCATCTCTTGTCCCTCAAACAGCATTTTTATTTTATGGCCTTAAATGAATTCTGAAATGTGAAGTAACTATTCCATTCTGAAACTACATTATAATATATTGTAGCTGCTTCCGCAGTTACCTGATTTTAGGGTGGGGTGTGCTGAGACAGGTTTCTCTGTGTAGCACTGGCTGTCCTGGAACTCAGAACTCAAGAGATCCACCAGCATCTGCCTCCAGAGTACTGGGATTAAGAGTATGCTTCACCACCACCCAGCTTCATGGTAACTTTTTAATACAGATGAACTGAGAGCAAACTTAATGCCCATTATTTGGGTCACAAGTGACTTGTATATAAAACGGACAACTAACTGAAAAAGCAGCAAGTACAAGTAAACGGAAGTCAAAGATTATGTAAAGGCTGGCTGGAAATGTGATTTAGTAGCAAGAGTGCAATTCCCAATAATCCACAGAAAAGTATAGTGAACTGCAGCTTTGTAAAAAGAAAAAAACAAACCCCAAAGCAACCCTAATTATAAATACCTGTTAGATATCAAAATAATTTCCAAATATAAATGAAAAATCATTTACCTGTTGAATTTAACAGCTAGACCCAGGTCAGCAATACAGCAACTTCCATTTTTCTTAATAAGGATGTTTTTGCTCTTCAGGTCTCGATGAGCAATTGCAGGCTTTCCTTGGGTTCCATAAATTTCTGTGTGGAGGTGGCACAGACCACAGGCAGCAGAATAAGCTAACTTGAGTAGGGCTCTGGTGTCTAGTGTGGCACATTTCAGGAAGTCATAGAGAGATCCATTTTCATGGTAATCGGTAATCAAATACAGCTGAGTCCAGGAGCCAGTGCCTTTAATGTCTGCAGCTATAAAACCTGTTTAGTGAATGAGTTTACAAGGTTAGCTGTCAGCAGAGGTGCTAGGCAGTTAAAATGCATATTCAGGATACTGGGAAAGAACTACTTATTTAGTACAGGCAGAAACTATACAAATTTCCTCTAATTTGATCCATAAAGTGTTTCGAATATGTAACCCCCCCAAAAAATTCATTTCCTATGTCACTACATATTGTAGAGTCACTACAGATTTACAATAACTTTATAGTATTTTAAAATGTATATGTTAGGTGTGTTTGTGGAGAAGAAAGTCGGGGGGGGGGGGGTGTCGGATCTTCTAGAGCCAGAGTTACAGACAGTTGTGAGCTTCCTAATGTGGGTGTTAATAATGGAACTCAGGTCCTCTACAAGAATAGTATGCACTCTTAGATACTGAGCCATTTCTCCAGTCCAAATTTACAGTATATTTGTTTGTTTGTTTGTTTGTTTTGTAAGACAGGATTTCTATGTGTAGCTTTGGAGTCTGTCTTGGCTCTCACTCTGTAGACCAGGCTGGCCTTGAACTCCTCCGCCTCTCAAGGGCTTCAATTAAAGACGTGTGGCGGCACCACCCAACTACCTTTACAGTATTTTTAAAGACAGGGTTTTGCTACGTAATCCAGGCTATATTCAAACTTGTGATCATCCTGACTCAGCCTCTTGAGTGCTGAGATTGTACACATGTGCCAACACATACAGCTAATAATTTATGATAATCCTAACATTAATCACAACAGTGATAATAATGACTAAGAAAAATAAATCATGTATTACACAATAACCTGCAAGTACTATTTACCTACATGATTTTCTGTTGAACTGGCTCTTTACTTGGGAGTGGTAGTACATGCTTGTAATTCCAGTGCAGTATTCAGGAGATAGAGGCAGGAGCACTACACAAATTGAAGCTGCCAAGGCTACAGAATAAGAGTCTGTCTAAAGACAAGACAACAAAAACAAAGCCCTATCACAGAACACAGAAATTAAAATAAAAGTTTTAATTTCAAGTTGGAAAGTAAATACTTAAAATTACACAGGAAACAGAATTTTTGTAGGTGAAATTATATTTACACAAAGCCATGCATGCTATAGACGGCCCAAATAAGCTGATTTATGAAATACAGAAAGGAAGGTTGTCTGCTGTGGAATATTAGTTGAGGATGTTTACATTCTTTTATGTTGCATTTGTTTAACTCTGTGAAGCTGTTATCACTTTGCCTGTCTAAAACACTTAATAGGTCTAATAAAGAGCTGAATGGCCAATAGCTAGGCAGGAGAAGGACAGGTGGGCCTGTGAGGCATAGAGAATCAGCAGGAGGAAAAATCTGGGAAAGGAAGATCAAGGAATTAGAAAAAGGAGAGAGAGAGAGAGAGAGGACATTGGAGGCCAGTCACCCAACTACACATCAAGCCATGGAGTAAGAAGTAAAAAAGGTATACAGAAACAGAGAAATGTAAAAGCCCAGAGGCAAAAGGTAGATGGGAGAATTTAAGAAAAGCTGGCTAGAAATAAGGCAAACTAAGGCCGATTATTCATAAGTAAGGATAAGCCTCCATGTGTTTACTTGGGAGCTGGTTGGCGAGCACCCAAAAAGCAAAGAGGAAAACAACCAATTAAAAGGGGGAACTAAACTCAAGGGCTTCACTTCTAATGATTTAGAAATAAAGGGACCAGACCCCCACTCAGCCCCCTGCTTTAGTAGCCATGACAGAAAAGACACACAGGAAACTCCAGATCCTCTGGCCTCTCGGAGTCTAGGGCCAAAACTGAACACAAACAAACTCCAGACAACTACCTCCCCCACCCCCGCCTCCGCCTTCACCTCCCAAATGCTTGGTTCCTGGCAACTGTTTGGCTACAAGAGAAACTCCAGGGGGGGAACCAAAACCTCCCCTCTAGTCTCCAGGATATAGTTCTGAAAACTATTGGTATCTACGTACAAAAGGCTACCTGCAAATAACAAGACAATGCCATAGAAACCACAGAATGTTCCCTCTCAGCACTGACCAATGAGAATAATAGGTACACAGGTATTAAACGCCAAAAACATGACTTTGAAAAATTTCTTGATTGTTCCCCAAATGTCAACCAATCAGAAACCAACCCGTACCTACTGATGTAATCCTGTAACTTTTGTCTTTAAAACCTAGTAGACAGGGAACTTCACTCCCTCTGGAGGCTGCTGTGTCAGCTAGCCAGACCACCAGGTCCCTGTCATGGTTGGATGAACAATCATTAAAACCTTGCTTTTGCAATTTGGTGGGTCTTCCTGGTAGTCTCTGGGGACTTTGCAACTTGGGCACAACACCAACAACAGTTTTAAGGGGGTGGGGGAATAATCAGCTGTTTTCCTTCTGTGTGTGCACAGATATCTGCATACATGTGAGTGAGCGCCTTTGGAGGTCAGGGGTCAGACAGCCTTACACGCTGTGTGTTCCTCTTGTGTCTCATTGGCCCAGAACTTCAACAGGTAGGCTAGGCTAGCTGGTCAGAGTGCTCCAGGGACCCACCTCTCCGCCTTCCATGCCTCGCCATCATTGTGATCACAAGCCTGCACTCTAGCATACTTAGCTCTTTAAGCAGCTTCAACAAGTGAGCCATCGTTCCACCCTGCTTCTGGTGGTTAGTTTGTTTTTCTTTTCTGAGGAGGGGTTTTAGAGATAGGGTGCAGCACTGGCTGACCTGGGACTCGCTCTGTAGACCAGGCTGGCCTTGAACTCAAGGCATCTATCAGCTTCTGTTTGGGATTAAAGGCTTGGGCCACCACACCTGGATATACTTCTGGTGTTTTAAGCCCTCAGCTCATGGTAATTTTTTACAGCCCCAATAGGAAATAAACACAAATGTCTCACAACAGATAGTGAGAAGCAGCTGAAAAGGAAATGCAGGAAAACAAGATCTGTTTATACCCTCTACTGGTCAGGAGCCTTCACTACTCACTACTGAATAAATGAGGCCACGAGAGGATCATATATTGGGTACGGAAAATACAAAGATGCTACACATTAGGTTCTTCTGCTGACAAAAGGCAAAGGCAGATACAGTTAAAGCTACCCTAGAAAAAGCACTGAGGTTCTCTACAAAATACTTCCATTATTATGTATGTTCAATAAACCAGCTTTAATTATCCTTTTGAAACTCAATGCTGTTTAGAGTAATGAAAAGCTTTCTTGGCATTCAGGATTGTGTTCTGGTTCACTATGAATTCTACTGGATTTCTTTCTGCTACACAAACACATTTGAATCCACATGTACTTGGCAGGTTCTCTCCACAATGGAAACACCCCTGCCAGAATGAGGAACTTATTAAAGCAAAGGACACTCACCAAGTATATTTTCATGGCGCATTAGGACCGTCTGGTAGATTTCGGTCTCTCTAAACCAGCTGGCTTCCTCAGTGGTAAAAAACACTTTGACTGCCACTTTCTCACCACGCCATTTACCCATCCATACTTCTCCGTAACGGCCTTTACCAACCTGCCGGACCATCTGAATCTGTTTGGCAATAGTTCGCTGAACCTATATAGGAAAGAAAAAAATGCAGTTTTGAGCTCTGGATGAAAAGAATCTATTAAGGCCGACTAAGCTGTGATAGGTCATCCCATTAAAAAGGCTGGCATATTCAAATAGCACCAATGCAAACACACTAACTCCAATGTTTAAACTGCAGTATCTAAGAGCAGCAACGACCAATGAATGCATTCTGAAATCACACACAGTCACCCTTGAGAAGCCTCCTTCCCCACAGATGTGGGTTTGGTTACTTGACTTCTCTTGGGCAATAGAATAGCAAATGTGTGACCAGTGAACTTCACAGATGCTTGTGGATCTCAGCCTACCCTTGGGAGCCCTGCCTCCCACAGAGAGAAGCGCCTTGTCAACTGTCAATCCTATGCACAAGCTATAAATAGCACATCAGTAGCTGAGCAAGTCTAGAAAACACACTTCCCAACAGACTCAGAATCATGAGAAATAATAAATGTTTTTGGCTTCCAGCCAATAAGTTTAGGGAAATTTACTATACAAAATCTAAATAATTAAAACCCCTCACCTCAGTCTCTAAGATCCTAGATGATCTGACCCAGCCCCGGTTTTCACTATTTACCTATATTTCCCTTATTCTGGCTTTTCTTTTTTTAATTCAATTTTTTTCATATAGCGTATTTTGCTCATTCTTTCCCCTTCCCAAACCCCTCCCAGATCCTTTTTAGTTATAGGTGGGACTTTGTGTCTAATTCCCCTTCTCAGTGCTGGGATTTTATCTTGTCTGAAGCTGTGCATGCTATCATAGTTTCTGAGTTCTATGTGGATTGGTCCTGTTGAGTCTGGAAGACACTGTTTCTGTGAGTTGTGCACCATTTCCGGCTCTTACAATCTTTTGAATGTGATGGTGATCTGGTTCTGACAGGATTGATTCAGCTGATCTGGATGGCCAGGCAGATCAGCTATCCCTTTCCTCTCTCAACGTTCCATGTGGATCCTTCTCAAAACTTCCCCAGACAGAAGAGGAATGGTCTTCAGTGAAGGATAGAGAAGTAACCTAGCTCCCCTACTGTAACCTCCAAACAAATCTTCAGGCTCTTTTTACAATTTATTCCTCTCACAGGATCTTACTGCAGGTCCAATTCTCTATACAGTACTATGTGTCTTGCTTTAGTATTCTCTCTCTCTCTCTCTCTCTCTCTCTCTCTCTCTCTCTCTCTCTCTCTCTCTCTCTCTCTCTCTCTCTCTCTCTCTCCCTCCCTCTCTCCCTCTCTCTCTCTCTCCCTTCCTCCCCCCTCATTGGCTGTACTGGTCAGAATTATACTTTTGTCTTTTATATACACCTTTGCTTGAATTCTATTCCTGGCTCACAGACCATAGGTAGTTATTAGAAATGATATTTGAAGTACATGTATACTCTATCTTTCATTTTCAGAAATGAAGAAGAACATGGTGCTCTGGTTGGAAGTGTGTATCTGAGGCTGAAACTACGCAAAGCTGACCTGGCCTACATCCTAAGTCACTTAGTGTGGACTCTTTCTGTAATTTTTTTAAAGTCAGGACCATTCAAAAACAATTTATACATAAAATAAATGTCTACTCATCTAATTACCAAAACCTCACTGAAGACTTAAGAATATTTCCATTGTCCAAAGCAGTTCCTCCTTTCATGATTCTTTCCTCCTGTGCTGGAATTGCTTACCTGTTTTGTTCCTACCTTTTCTAAGCTATATAAATAGAAACACTCTGTAGTTCTCTGTACCTGGCTAATTTATTTATTAGACTATATTTGCTATGGAAATTCACCTTTGGGTCTTTTGTGTAAACACATTTCTGTATTTCTAGGGCAAAAAGCAGAAGCACTGTTTTATTGTACACACCTTTAATCCCAGTACTCTGGAGGCAGAGGCAAGTTTGAGGTAACCTGGTTTACAGATCGAGCTCCAGGATAGCCAGGGCTACACGAAACTGTCTCAAAAAATAAATATAAAGAACAAAGTATATGCTTAACCTGTTAGTAAACTCTCAATTATTTTTCAACATGCCTTATCATTTTGGGTTTAATCAGCTATGTATGAAATTTCAAGTTAATCTATATCCCAGCAGTACCATGGTGAATTTAACCTGCATACCCCTCATGATAAAGATGTATCTATTTGTCATTTCTAATCTTTAGGAAAGTGTTTAAATCTTTTGTTCATTTAATACATTTGAGCTGTTACTTTGTATAATCTATATATTTGTCAGATCTATTTTACTAGCCCCTGACTCATCTTTTGATTTTCATCCTATTTTGTTGTTGCTGTCATCTGGTTTTTGGAACAGGGTTTCCCTGTGTAGCCCTCCTTAAACTCACAATGATTTCTTTAAAAATTCTTTTTTTCTTTTTCTAGTTTAGGTTTTACATTTCATCTGTCCTCCATTTTAACGTAATTTTGTATACTGAGTGAGGTATAGGAACACATTCACCTTATAGCAAATGGGTACCTGAGGTTTTCTTCTCTGCATCATCTCTTTAATAGGCAATTTATGGAACACTGAATTACTTCAGTGCTTTAAACAAATAATGACCTCATGTAACCTTTATAACAAAATCTTAAAAAAAAAAATCATTGAGCACCACTGGTGGTGGTGCACGCCTTTAATCCAGCACCTGGGATGCAGAGGTAGGTGGACCTTGGTGAACTCATGGCCAGCCTGGTTTACAGAGTGAGTTCCAGGGCAGCCAGGATTACACAGAGAAACCCTGACTCAAAAAGCAGGGGAAAAAAACTCAGTTGAGCAGGGTATAGTGGCACACACCTTTGATCCCAGAGCTTCCAGGCATAGGCAGGCAGATCTCTGTGAGTTCAAGGTCAGCCAGAGCTACACAGACAACAACAAACAATAAAATCAATTGACTGGGTTAGAGAGATGGCTCCGTGGTTAAGAGCACTGGCTGTTCTTCTAAAGAGCTTGGGTTCAATTCCCAGCACCTAAGGGTACACCACAACAATTTGTAACTCTAGTTTCAGGGGATTTGGACAGCCTCTTCTGGCCTCTTTGAGTACCAGGCACATGTCTAGTGTTACACAGATAAACATGCACATAAACTTTTGTCTAAATGTCCTTTTCTAGGCTCTACTCTGTCCCACAAATATACAATGCTAACTAGCGTAGCTTTGTAAGTAAGTTCAGAAGCAGCATAGTTAGTCCTGTGCTCTTTTCTAACAAGCTCATCTAGGCCTTTCTATTTTTATAAATCTGTTCATCCATTTCTGTGGAAGTTTGCTCTGATTTCTATTTGGATTGAAATGAAACAACCTTTCAGTGTGAGGCAACCTGACATCCTAATAGTGCTGCCTTCAATTCATAAGCAGACCTCCATTTATTTAGGTCTTAAGAATATTTAAGAATTGGGGCTGGAGAGATGGCTCAGTGGTTAAGAGCACTGACTGTTCCTCCAGAGGTCCTGAGTTTAATTCCCAGCAACCACCTTAGTGAGATCTGGTGCCCTCTTCTGTCATGCAAGGATACATGCAGGCAGAACACTGTATACATAATAAATAAGTCTTTAAAAAAGAAAAAAAAAAAAAAAAGAAACTACATACTTAAAAAAAAAGAATATTTAATTCACAAATTCTCCCACTGGAATAAATGCTTCATTCATAAATAGGCTACACACCCCTATCTATTTAGGTCTTAAGAATATTTAAGAATTAATATTTAATTTCAGGGATTCTCCTACTGGAATAAATGCTTCATCCTGTTCCAAATCATGGATGTAACGACCTCTGCTTGAGATGCTACAGTAATGTCTTTAAAAAAGTAGAAAACAATCTACCCTAAAAATTCTTAAGCACAATTAATATCAATTAATTAATAGTTAATATTCCAACAATAATTTTTGGTGTACAATTTTGCAATGGACATATTTTTGCTAAATATTTCATGCTTTTCACACTATTTTAAATGATACTATTTTCTTAACTTTCAGTTTCCAGACATGTGTTGCTATTGCATATAAAATCAGTAAAATTGAATAGTAACTTTGTAGTCTACAAACTGACAAGCATTGGTTGCTGTAGGTTTATTTGTACCAATCTTGGGATTTTTTTCATAATCATATTATCTGTATACAAATACCTCTAATCTCACATTTCCAATGCTGACACAGATTACATTAGACAAAATTTTAAACTGTCGATCAGTATTTACTTTCAACTAAACTATTAAATAGTATAAAAACCTACTTGGAAATGTAATGTTGTGATTAGGAGGATTGCCTCAGAATGCTGTTCTCCATCCACCCGAATTATTTGTAACCCTTTTTAGACTTAAGCATTATACTTCTCTCAGCCAATTAGCTTAACATTAAAGATACAAGGGATCTTACACTTGTTTCTTTGTTTTGTTAGTTACTAAAATACTTAGAACACCTAGCTGAGGATGGTGGCTCATGCCTGTAATCCCAGCATTTAGGAAGCAGGAGCAGAGTTAGAAGGATCTCAAGTTCAAGGCAGCCTGAATTCTACAAGAAGACCTTATCTCAAAAAACCAAGTACTAAGGATGTAGTTTAGCAGAGGAATGCTTGCCTGGCACCCCCAAAGTTCTTGGCTCAAACTCCAGCACCAAAGTGTATTTGCACAGGACTACATATCCTAACTTTTTATGTACAGATCAGACTTTTTTCTTACTTATGGCTTTTATCTTCCTTATGCTATTTTCCTTGGTTCACATATCTTACTTTTAAGCAATTTCATCTTTCTACTATTTCCTAGTCTGCAATAACTAGCTCACTTGCCTATGACGTCACTCTATGTCACCACGCCATTCGTACTAGTAAAGACCCTGCGCTTACCAATAAAGGTAGTCCAGACCCACTCCCAGAGCTCTGTGACTGGTCAATCAGGTCTTTCAGCGATTCTCCTACTGGAATAAATGCTTCATCCTGTTCCAAATCACGGTTGTAACGACCTCTGCTTGAGATGCTCTTACAGTAATGTCTTAAAAAAAAGCAGAAAACAATCTACATTAAAATTGGAACACTGCAACACTCTGAGCCTTGAGACTTGCCACACCATTATTCCTTCAGGCACAATCATAGCCTAATCAATCTTCACAGGAAAAAATTTTGTTACAGTCCACTAGAAATGGAGTTTATGAGGTAGAATGCACGCACGCACGCACGCACGTACACACACACACACACACACAGCACAGTGTGGTGGCAGAAGTAATGGAAGTTTAAGGCATCTTGGGTTACAGAGCCAGGCCTGGACTATGAAGTGAGGCCTTGTCTCAAAAATACGAACACACATCCCCTCCCCCATCCTAGAGTCCAGATGTAGTAGCACTAGGAAGAGGCTGGGAAAGAGGATCCTGGATTCAAGGCCAGCCTGGGCTACCCTATCCCTATCCCCAAAACCTCCAAACATTCCCTTCCCCCAGCACGTAACATGACACCATAGCTGTCAAAAGTATTTAAATGATACATTTTAACAATGTCTTTAAAAAAATCTGAAAGGATACCCAGCATAGAAAGCTACTTATCAGCCAGGCATTGGTGGCCCACGCCTTTAATTCCAGCACTTGGGAGACAGAGGCAGGCGGATCTCTGTGAGTTCAAGAACAGCCTGGTCAACAAGAGCTAGTTCCAGGACAGGCTCCAAAGCCACAGAGAAACCCTGTCTTGAAAAACCAAAGAAGAAAAGAAAGCTACTTATCACTTATATCTACAGACATACAGATTCTTAAAACTGTAATTGTATCTTTGCACTACAACAGCATGCCCCAATGAGAAGGGCAGTCATGCTGCATCCGCCCTTTTCCAGCAGCACTGCAGTTTCTCTCTTTGGTGCTAGAAAGACAGTTAAGATCATGGGCTAGGCGGAGGGTCTAGGCCCTGCCCCAGATCATATGACAGGCTTTGGAGACCCCCATGAAGGGCCTCAACCTCCCTGGAGAGTCGAATGGGGATTGGGTAGGGAGTTGGGGGTGCTTGTGGGGGGATCTGGGACTGACATGTGAAGCAAGCTTGTTTCTAATTTAAATAAATAAAAAGGAGAAACGCAAAACAAACAAGCAAAAAAGATCATGGGCTATTCTTCTTCAGGACCTGGGTTCAAATCCCAGCAGTCATTTGGTGGCTAGCACCCCTTTTGGCTTCGAACAATAAAGCATACATGTGGCACACAGGCATACATGAAGACAGGACATCCACACACATAAAACAAAAATAAGAAAATTTTAAAAAATTAAAAATTTTCTTTTTATTACTAAATTTGAGCAATATGACTATGTTGTGCTTTATTTTTTTTTTTCTTCTTATTTTTGGAATCTTTAAGAGTTGGTAAAATTTTTAGATTAATGAGTTTCTGGTTTTCATCCCAACTTGAAAACTCCCTGGTCATTGTTTCCTAAACATTTTTCTTCCTGTCCATTCCTCTCCATTGAGGATTCTAATTATAAGTGTATTGGATCATGTCTCATACAAAACTCTTTCAGAGCTGAGGAAACAACGTGTAAAGTGACTTCCATGCAAGTGTGAGGACCCGAGTTCAGATCCTCAGAAAACACAGAGTTGAGTGACGCGGTATCTGCATGTAGCTCCAGTGTCCCTGCATGGAGATGGAGGCAGAGACAGCAGAGTCCCAGGACTCTCACCGGCCAGCTGGATTGCTATGTGCAGCACTGAACAAGAGGCACTGTCTGTCTCCAATAAGGTGGGCGGCAGGACAGCTGCCCTGTGATTCCCACAAACATGCTGCAGCAAATGCACACACAAACCCTGTCTCACAGATTCTACTCTCATGACTCCATGTCCGCTTAGCTCTTAATTGGAATCTAATCTGACATTTTCCTTACCCATGCACGCTTATATTCAAGGTGTTTTAATCTAATTCCCTCAAGTTTCACTTAGATCTTTTTAAAAAGTTTTCCAGTGTTTCTACTTAAATTATTTTAACACCGCCTAGTCTACAAAGTGAGTTCTAGGACAGGCAGGGCTGTTACACAGAGAAACCTTGCCTCAAAAAAAAAAAAACAGTAACAAAACAAAACAGTAACAACAACAACAACAACAAAACCCCAAATATTGTTTTTGTTTGTTTACACAGTCCAGGCTGGTGTGAGCCTGCTATAGAATTGAGGGTGACCTTACACTCCTAATCCTTCTGTTTCCATCACTTGAGTGTGGGAATAATAGACGTATTCTTACAAATATTATTATTATTGTGTTATTTTTCCCAGAACAAAACTGAAAACAGCATGAACCCTCACATTTCTTTGTTTTGTTTAAAGACAGGCCCTCACTATATAGACCAGCCGGCCTCAAACTCAAGAGATCTACCTACTTTTGCCTGCTGAGTGCTGGAACTGACGTATGCTCCACCATGTCCAATTGGGTCATGTTTTTTGTTTTATGGATACAGGGTTTCTCTGTATTGCTTTGGAGCCTGTCCTGGAACTCAGTCTGTAGACCAGACTGTCCTTGAACTCACAGAGATCAGCCTGCCTCTGCCTCCTAGTGCTGGGGTTAAAGGAGTGTGCCACCATCACCTGGATTGGGCCTTGTTTTTAAAGTGAGACCAGAGCTACATTTACTCCAGGACTAATTTTATTCTCTGTCCCTGAAGCAGGGCTTATGATTTAACCAAGACCTATGGTTTCCTAGTCTCAAAGATGGTGGTTAATAGAGACCAATCCCAGCTTTCTGTGACAACCAATACTATTTCCTCTAGTCTTCCACATGTTCTTCCCAGCCTTGGTAGTTTTTCATATGAACAAGCTGAATACTGGATGGAGTCATCTGCAGAACTCAAGACTTCCTGTGAGGCTTTCTGCTGCAGAATATTTGTTTAACCATGCACAGATGTGTTGTAGTTGTTTAATTATGCAAAGATGTGTTGCTGTTTTATCTTGCCTGTCTAAGACACCATGATTGATTGGCCTAATAAAAAGCTGAATTGAGGCAGTGGTGGTGAACTCTCAGCACTCAGGAGGCAGAGTCAGGAGGATCTCTGTGAGTTCGAGACCAGCCTGGTCTACAGAGCAAGTTCCATGGCAGACTCCAAAGCTACAGAGAAACTCTGTCTTGAAAAACAAAAACAAAAAACAAACAAACAAAAAAGCAAGCAATCTGAACAACCAATGTGGAGGGAGAAGGTATAGGTGGAACTTCCAGGCAGGGAGAATTAAGTAGGAAGAGGATATACTCAAAAAAATGAAAAAGCAAAGGAAACGACAGGGAGACAGATGCCAGGGACCAGCCAGTCAGCCATGAAGGAAGCAGGGAAGTAGGGCACACAGAATAAAGAAAAGTACAAAGTTCTGAGGCAAAACATACCTAAGTAGAAACAGGTTAAACCTCGTTAAGAGAGCTAGTAGGAAGTCTAAGCTAAGGTCAGGCATTCATAATTAATAATAAGTCTGTGTCTTTATTTCAGAGCTGGTTGGTGACCCAAAGAAAATTTCAGCTAGTTTTCTGATGACATCTCCCCAGACTCTCACCTGTATTTTCTCATCAGAGATACCTACCCTTTCTCCGTGCTTCAGGCAGGAGCAGAGGCAATCTGATGCTCAACCCTCTGATTTCTGTCTCTAGGCATCTGTGTTCAATATGAGCGATCCAATCACAGGGCTCACTGGCATACGCTTAATCTGCCTAGGTCATTTAACTCTAGACAGTATCTTTAGGTCTTTTCTCCCAGGCTGCACAGGTTTCCCTAAAAATCCTGTCTGGCTTATAAATACAGTCATGACTGACAAGCCAAGGTTATTAAACTGATATTTAAATGTTCACCCATATCTTTTTTATTTTTCATTACCATGTCTAACCCCATAGTTGATAAACTGGTTTATTTTTGTTTTGAAACAGGATCTCATTCTGTAGTCCACACTGGCCTGGAACTATGTATGTAGTTCAGGCTGATTTGCTCAATCTGCTACTTTTATCTACAGGATGATGCTGTCTCAAAACCTACAGTGGAGAGTGACTGGGAGACGTTTACTGATGTGCACCTGTAGCACACATGCATGTGCACACACTTGAGCACACAGTCTTCTTTCATTTCATCTGGCCATTTGACAGACTAAAATTACCTCAAATTTTGTAATTTTTATATATTTCATATTCTTTTTTGTTTGTTGTTTTTGTTTTTTTCCTGACAGGGGTTTCTCTGTGTAACAGCTCTGTCTGTCTTGGAACTCACTTTGTAGATCAGGCTGGCTTGGAACTCACAGAGATCTGCCTGCCTCTGAGTCCCGATTGCCGGGATTAAAGGCCTGTGCCACCACACTGAGCTAAGAATATTTCTGTTGTTTGCTTTTTTAAAAGAGTCATACAGCTAAGAATGGAGGTATATACCTTTAATTCTAACATGAAAGGCAGAGGCAGGTGGATCTCCATGAGTTCCAGACCAACCTGGTCTATATAGCAAGTTCAGAGCTAACCAGGGTTACATCATAAGACTCTCTCAGAAAATAAAACCCTTCAGAAAGCCATGCATATTTCTTTTAAAAAATTGTATATTTTTATATATTTCTTTACTGAATTATACTTTTTTGGTTGTGAGCCTAACCTTTAACAGCTGAGTTATCCCTCCAGTCCAAATTATATTTTTTGACTCATAGAAGCTTTTTGTATGTGCAAAGCAATCACTTGTAGCAAGTACTAGCTGCCAAATTTTTCATTTGTTTCATCTTCCAACCTCTTGTGGGTTCTTTTTTGCTACGCACTACTGTTTTTATGTAGCTGACACTACTTTTGTATATTGTATTTACTTCCTTGTTTGCTTCCAAGCTGACATAGACTCAGAAAGGTTTTCCAAACTATGAATATGAATATATAATTCTAATTAATCTGGCTCAAATTTACTAAGTGTAGGGAATAGTCTCAATTTCATTTTTTCTATATGGCAACTCATTATCAAATTTGCTATTGAGTTTATCTTTTCCTCTTCTTTAAAAACACTGTATTTCGGGGCGGGGGGGGAGGGGAGGGCACGGGAGGAAGGGAGGGAATGGGAGAGGGACCTGGAACTGACTTGTGAAGCAACCTTGATTCTTATCTAAATTTAAACTGGAAAATAAAATTTAAAATAAAAAAAAATTCTGCCCTTTGGTAAAAAAAAACAAACAAACAAAAAAAAAAAACACTGTATTTCCATGTCACTGCTGTGGAGAGCACACAAGCACTCCTGTATGTCAGGCAAGTGCTCTACCACTGAGTCACATTCTAGCCCCCTTCCTCCAGGTTCTTCAATTTGACAGCTTCATCATGCTGCAAAATCCTTTGTGTACAGATTTATTTATGGGATTACCAACCTGTTTCAGTTATTCACATCCCCAATTTTTAAACTGGACATGTTATGTTATCTAAGAATCTGTTCTACAAATTCAAGCACAACAAAGATCATTATTCTACAAGTAAGAAAGTCACAAGTATTCTTGAATGAAGTAATATCCAAAAAATTAATTGGAGTTAAGTTAATCTTTCCTTCTAGGGAAGCCATAGCACAACTGAAAGGGTGTAACCAGAGAATACAACTTAATGATTTTTGAATTGCACACAGCAGTGTTTTTTTATCTGTTAGTTTAAAAACAAAAGACTGCTAATGTAGATTAACAAGATATTTTTATATAAAAATAAGTATGTTCTTACTTGTAACAAAAGCAGCTGGAGAAGATGATCATAGCAATTATACAGACAGCCATGGAAATGAGCACAACCAGCCATCGAATGCTGCCATCAAAAAATGGACCTGAGAATGGAAATCAACAATGAAGCTAGTATCTTCCTGTTGCATCTTACAAAGAGGGAGAGAATAATTCACAGCACTGAGTTCTAGGTTGCCTAGTTATTGATAGAGACAAAAGAAGTTACAGAGAATCGTGCCAGGACTTTTCTGGGCTGACCTACCTATAACCACAGGGGGCAGTGTAGGCTGCAAATACTGGTTGCACAAATTGGTTCGACAACATTCTATTGTCCGGCGTAGCTGGGCTTTTGGTGAATCCTTTAAGAAAAGAAACGGTAAAATTAAAGGGTTTGACATAGTAAATTGAGTTAGTATTGGTATATATAATTTATAATTGGTCTCCAAATCTTATGTTACAAAATATTTAGCCTGGTTTCGTGGCTCACACCTTTAATCCCAGCACCTGGGATCTCAGGAGGCAGAAGGAAGAAGCAGGAGGATCTATGAATTTGAGGCCAGTTTGGTTTACAAATGGAGCTCCAGGACAGTCATGACTTTTACATAGAGAAACCCTATTCCGAGGAGCAAAAGCAACAACAAAAGTGTTACTGAATATTTAAATCTTTTTGTGAAAATAAGGAAAATTATCCCACAAGTCTTATTTCCATAAAAAATAATCACTAAAATTCTTTGTTTCTCTATAATTTATAATTTTGTATTTTTTACCTTAAATGTTGGTATATTTAAATTATCATTCAGTTAATTGCTTTTAGTTTTAAAAAGTAAATATCTGCTGGAAAGCATAGTATTTTATTAGAATCATAAACTTGTCTGAAAATAAATCATAGTAGTAATAAGATGTAGGTGAGATTAAGATCAGACTACAAAGTAGAGGGTTTTCTAGTCAAACTGGGGTTGGGTGCTGGTTATGAACCAACCAGATAGAAAGTATGCCAGTCCTAAAACATCAGAAAATAAGTGCCATGGCTTTAGTCATGGAAGCAGATGTTAGAGATTATATGTTGACATTTCAGCATAGTCTAGGTGAAATGCATTCTGAACCAAAATATTAATAGAAAGAGCCTGTTCGTTATTATGAAGGTAGAAAGAATGTAAGCAGAAGTTAGCCATGTTATTCTTCAATATCAGATAGCCAGAATGGAAAGGACTCAGTGTAATCAGGAGTTACTTTATTTATTTATTTATTTATTTATTTATTTATTTATTTATTTATTTATTTATTTTGGTTTTTCGAGACAGGGTTTTTCTGTGGCTTTGGAGGCTGTCCTGGAACTCGCTTGGTAGTTCAGGCTGGCCTCGAACTCACAGAGATCCACCTGCCTCTGCCTCCCAAGTGCTGGGATTAAAGGCGTGCACCACCAACGCCGGCCAGGAGTTACTTTAAATAAGTGACCAAGAGTCTGTGGCTTGAAATCCCATCTGGGAAGATGGTCAATAACATTTAGAAATTTTCTAAAAATAAAGGAATAAATTCTACATTTTAACTGGATTTTTTACTTTTAAGATAATTTTTCCTTTGAAGTTATAAAGAGAAAAGAGATATGGTAGGGTTTATACTGCAAACTTCCAAATAATCCCGTATCTAGAGAAAATTAGCATGAAAGAAAGAGTGATTGCATAACTGAAGATGAATAAATGAAGTACCATGCAGTCAGTCCCAGGAAGGCTAAATGAGGACAGCTTTGCAGAAGATAAAGTAAAAGAATACAAAGGAAGGATTTCTTTGGCAGTCTTGGGTAAAAGATGTCTAAACCATGGATTATTGCCCATTAATAGCACATAACGGAAGAGGAAGACCAATCTTAAATTCCTCTTTGTCTCTCTCTTCTCTATCAAGGATGACTACAAGAATAAAAACAGACTGTACACCGGGCAGCAGTAACCAATGTTCCAAAGCCATGTTGACAGCCATGAGAGTTCATGCCTTCTAATGGGGGAGAGTATGGAAGATTTAGTATGACACTGCAAAGACAGGTATAACTTGTAAGATTCTAGAACAGTGAGTATGGATAACTAGCTGCACATCATATGACTTCATTTAAGGAAAAGAAAGATTTTCCAACAGATAGAAGGCAGCATGGTATAAATAATAATAACAATAATAAGCATAAATCCTCCCTAGCTTTGTCAGTTACTCACTTTTTTACCCTAAGTACCCAACTTTTTAGTTTCCTCTAGAAACCACTGGATAAAAAGTTTTGCCTTACAGAGTACCCATGAGGCAACAAGACGGCATGTACCAAAAACTTTGCAAACTACATGCAAATAGAAAATATTCAATAAATTGATTTCTTCTTCCTCTGGTGAGTATGACATGAATTCTGTAAGACCAGAAACCTTGGGCAGCCCTTCAAGAGCTGATGAGTCTTTACCACACACAAGCAATCAGCAGCACACACCTCATCTTTCTCATACAGGTTAAGGATACATTAGGAAAAAAAGGGGCATTTCTAAATTTCATAATGGGTGACACAGCTTTTCTTTCCTACATTCCTCCCCATGCCCCTTTCTCCACCCAACTCATTTTACCTACTTATAGACTAAGGTAGGGAATAAATATCCTATGGGAGTGAGGGGGAGGGAAACTGGAAACACCTCAGCAGTTAAGAGCACTGGATACTCCTCCACTGGAACTCACATGGTGGCTAACAAGCATCTGTAATTCAGTTCTAGGTGATCTGACACCCATCTGGCCACCTTGGGCACCAGGCACATACACAGTGCACAGGTATACAAGCAGGCAAAACACCTACACACATAAAAAACAAGTCAATCATTAAAATCCCAGATAAGAATGCATCTGGCAGCTATGAAATGGAAGAGCCTGGCTGAAGTGGACAGTGTCCAGGCAGAAGACAGTGAGTACTCATACTGCACTGAAGTCAAGAGACCAAAGGTGGGGTGAGGCTCTGACGGTGACAAGAACAAGAAAGACAGAGCCATCCTGTAGCAGGGAAGCAGCAAGAGCATGAAGCACATGGGAATCACTGAAATGTGCTTTGGCCTCTACCTAGCACTGACAAGAGGTCAAGCGTAAGATCAAGAAACTAGTCCTAAGTATCATGACAGTGATTGTGTTGTTATAGTTTTATGTCAACCTTACACAAACTAAGTAAAGTCATCTGAGAGGAGAGAACCTCAATCGAGACAATTTCTCCAGAAGACTGTGGTGTAGGCAACCCTGCAGGGCATTTTCTTAGTGACTGACAGGGCAAGGCCCAGCCCATGGTGAGTGATACCATTCCTGGGCTGGTGGACCTGGGTCCTATAAGAAAGCAGACTGAACAATCCATGGAGAACAAGCCAGTAAGCAGCTCCCATCCACAGCCTCTGCACCAGCTCCTGCTCCAGGTTCCTGTCCTGTTTGAGTTCCTGCCCTGGCTTCCTTCAATGATGGACTACAATAAGGAAGTTTAAGTCGAATGAACCTTTTCTTCCCAACTTGCTTTTTGGCCATGTTTCACTGAAGCAGTAATAACCCTAACTAAGGTAAGTGATGCAAAAGAAAATTACTGGTTAGACTCCTTAAGTAAAATTTTACTTTTCAGTTATGCTTGTCCTCTCTTTCTGCTTGCCTGAAACTCACAATGTAGAACAGGCTGGCCTTAAACTCAGAGATCTTGTTGCCTGAGTACTGGGATTAGTGGCATGTGCCACCAAACTCAGCTTCAGTAAAAATTTAAAAATAACATACTACTCGCATATTTTAGGATGACAAGCTATAGTTTCCAACATAAATGGAAGCAGAGCGGCCGGGCGTTGGTGGTGCCCGCCTTTAATTCCAGCACTCGGGAGGCAGAAGCAGGCTGATCTCTGAAGTTCGAGGTCAGCCTGGTCTACAGAGCGAGTTCCAGGACAGCCTCCAAAACAATACAGAGAAACCCTGTCTTTAAAAAAAAAAAAAAATGAAAGCAAAGCCAAAAAGATATTAATATATTCTGGCCCACTGGCCACACTAAATCAGACCTGTTACATCATTCCTTGTTCTATTAAGTAGAAAATAAACAATATAGCAATTTGGTAACAATTATCTTTTTTATTTTCTTTCTTGAGACAGGATCTGAGTATGCAACCCTGGAGGGCCTCAAACTCAGAGGCCCCCTGACACCCACCCGAGTCAGGGTTTCTCTGTATAGCTTTGGAACCTGTTCTCAAACTCACTTTGTAGACCATGCGGGCCTCAAATTCAGAGATCCACCTGCCTCTTCCTCCTGAGTTCTGGGAATAACGAAAACATGCACTTAAAATATAAAAGCACTAAAAATTCCTTTGATAACTTAACAATTTAATTTAAAGTAACAAGCGAAAACAAGGGTTGGGGGTGATGGCTCAGCAGAGGAGTGTGCTGATACCCAAGCCTGACAACCTGAGTAAGTTGCCTGGTACCCACATGGTGGAAGGAGACAACAGATTCAACCCGTGTCCTCTGACTTCCACACATATGCCACGGTGCACACACTCAACTAATCAATAAATGCAAATCCAAACACTGTGCAGAATTGTCAGATTTTGACATCCCAGGCCCATGATTTGTTAACTAGAAGGGTTTACTGTAGAAGAGAAGAAGAAAGGGGGCTTGACAGGCTCTGTTAGGAAGAGTACTTAACAAAACTATGTGCTCAAGATCCTACTGTCTAATAGTCTGTGCATACCTACAGATATGGGTGAGACAGCCAGATGCTGTTCAGATGAGGGAGATGTTAACATTTACTTTGTTACCATGTTATTTCATTTGATATACAAAATTCCTAAGAAAACAAGCTCCTTGCCAAAAGTTCCACTGCTCTGAAGAAGTAGCATGAGTTTGGACAGATTGTTAAGCCTGAAAATTAATTTATACTAAGTTTGGAACCAGCTTAGTCTAAAGTCTATAGGATACTTGTTAATAATGTTTTAGCTCAGAGCTTGTAACCACCGCTCCTCCTTGAATTTTTAAAAAAGTAGTTTGATAACATGTTGATGCCATAAAACTGGAAAAACCAAATCTGAAGAAATCTTAATGTTACAATCAGTCCTAGACAAATACAGGATAAGCAACAAAACCATTCCATCCCCAACTACTTGTATCAAAGGACCAACCAAAATCACTGTAGAGTAGAGGAGGTGTGGCAGGGAAGCAGAGTGAGTCAAAGACATGAGACTTTAGCTGGCAAAAGTTCAATGTACTGAGAACAGCACAACTGCCAAAGTACACGCAATTGCATTCAGAACCAGGGAGACAGGCGTTTTTCCTGCGTACACCACACTGAAGCGTGCACTATCCTGAAACGCTAGAGTGAAGGATGGAGCTGATTGTGTAAGGGCAGCTGACACTGTGAGGAGATGTGTGGAGGAAATAGCACACAAGGGCTATGGTTTTGGGGAGAGGTCAGGTCTGTTTGTACAACCAAAGAGAGAGAGAGACGGGAAGAATCTCAGTCACTGGCTTAGGCTTAGTGACTACAAGTAGAAACCTAGCACTCAAGTTTTCTATGAACCCTGCCAGTTCTGAAGAGGATTCATTTGCTGACATAGCTGACATATATACTGTTCCATACAAAGCTGTTTTTCAAAACCACTGGCAGGATCTCCTAAGAAAGTCACACGTACAATCTAGAAAAATCTGAAGGAATCCTCTCTGCTGCTCTTTTCAAGTACCTGCACAGAACCTTGTATTAGTTCTCTTCTGTGATCAAACACCACGACCAAAGCAACTTAGAGAGCAACACGTTCATCTGGGTGAGCAGGTCAGCGAGCCAAGAGTCCATGGTGGTAGAGCAGACATGATGGCAGGAGCAGAGACTAAAGGCCCACATCTCAAAAGGCAAGCAGAAAGCAGAGCGAGCAAACTAACAGTAGGTGAGGCTTTATACTTTTGTTTTTTAAGACAGGGTTTCTCTGTGTAGCTTTGGCTGTCCTGGAACTCACTCTGAACACCGGGCTGGCCTTGAACTCAGAGATGAGGTTTTATACTCTGCTTGTTTGTTTTCTTTTTTTCTGGAGATAACTGTGTCTCTGTGTGGCAGTCCTGACTGTCTTGGAACTCTGTACAACAGGCTGGCCTCAAATTCAGAGATTCATATGACTCTGCATACCAAATGCTGGGATTAAAGTTGTGTGCCACTACTGCTGGGCAAGGTTTTATATTCTTCTTTTTAAATAATAATTAAACTTGAAAAATATTACATGTCAATCCCTAGGCCCTCTCCCATGTGTCTAGGCTGAGAGGGTATCCCTCTGTGTGAAATGGGCTCCCAAAGTACATATACTATGGATAAATACTGATGAACTGCCAGAGGTCCCAAAGATTGCCCAGGCCACCTGACACCCACGTTCAGGTGGTCTGGGTAGGTCCTATGCTGGTTTCCCAGCTACCAGTCTGGGGTACATGAGCTCCCCATTGTTCAGGTCAGCTGTTTCTGTGTGTTTCTCTAGCCTGGTCTTGACTAATCACTCCTCTCTCTCTGCAACTGGATTCCAGAGTTCAGCTCAGTGTTTAGCTGTGGGTGTCTGCAGGTTTTATATTCTTAGAAGCCTGCCTCCAGTAAGGTCACATGCCCTACACCTTCCCAAGCAGTACAGGCAACTCGGGACCAAGTATCCAAATGCCTAAGACGATTTCGGACATTTTATTCCAATTACCTCATACTAAAACAAGGATTTAACACTGCTCTATTGGGGGGAAAAAGATACTATCCATTATCTTAAAGTTTTTCAGAAATAAATGTGACTATCTTTTTTTTTCATTAACCACAATCTGTGATGATTATAAAACTTTCTTGAAGTAAAGTAACCTGGGACTTCAGTTAGTAAGCTCCTATTACTTGACAAGCCCAGGCTTTCTTCAGAAAATGGTTCTGTGAGCACGGTAGTGTAAAGAGCAGTCCACTTCTGCTAGAACTCAGCTCCATTCACGAAGTTCTCCCCTTCTTTATTGCAGGGTTACAAATTAGATCTTACCTTGCATTGAAAATCAGAGCCTTCATACTTCATACACCCAGAAGCTAATGTGGTTTCTCCCTGATCATCTTCTTCTATAATGGCAAAGCAATGCCCATTAGTTCTACAATAGAGAAAAAGAAAAAGAAAGCACAAACAATTTCATATTAGGCAGAACAGAGCATGGCAGTACACATCCAGAACACTAGCATTCAGGAGGCTAAGGCAGGAGGATCTTGCACTGCAGGTCACCCTGAGCTAAATAGAGAGACTTGTCTGATAAAGAGGGCCAGAGGGGTGGCTCAGTGGTTAAGGGCACTGTCACCAAGTCTGAAGACCTAAATTTGATTTCTAGTGCCCAAATGGTGGGGAGAACTGATTCTGGAAAGTTGGTGTGTGTGCATGCTCACAATACATACACACTCCAATAAATCCATCTAGAAATTCTAAAAAGACATACAAAAGAACTGAAGATATGGCCTCTGGTAACTTGTTTTGTTTCTTTCTACATTAAATTGAATGCTCATATGATTACCAAAACCAATATAGATTTAAGCTAAATCAAAGGTAGTATGCATGAACTAAGGCCTAAAGGGTCAATAAGAACTCTATGTCAAATAGATAGGAATTCTACTAAATAACTATTCTGTGTGCGTGCTATTATGGAATTGCTCGGCTAGCCACACTCATGATCACATGCTAACATATACATGGTAAGAGATGAAAACAAGCTTTTCTGTGAAATGTTCAGCAGAGCCCAATAACACCTGAAAGTATATTTGGGAAGAACAGATGAAAAGATTCTGAAAGGTACTTTGTAGTGAATGAGACAGGAAAGCAGACAGACAGTCTGAATAACTTCATTTTAGAGACATTTACAAAAATATATTTATGTTTCATAAAGTTTTACCACTTTAATGTCAGTGTCCTTGAGCTTTTCCCTAAGGTAATACAAGAAGGATAAATAATATAATTTCATAGAGGAAGTTCTAGGTTTCATATCCAGTCTATTCAAAGAGCACAGAATGTGAGGGAACTATAAAACTTGGCCTTCATTATCACTTCTAAAACAAAGAGACAATTAATTGACTGATGAGACTGAAGTGCACAGGTTTTTTGTTGTTGTTGTTGTTGTTTGGTTTCATTTTGTTACTTGGTCTAGAAAGTCAATTCTCAAATGGGCCACAAGATGACTGAGCATGTGGAAGTGCTTGCTGTCTAGATTGACAATCAGTAGGAGAGGAGAGATGAGACTTCTGCAAGTTGTCCTCTGATCTCTTCATGTACAACCTACATACATATCGTGTACACACACAATACATACATGCTTGAAAATATGAATTCAAGTTTCATGACCATCTTTGAGTGGACTGAATGGTTAACATAAAACTAAGTAGGAAGTTAGCCAGGAGTTGGTGGCACACGCCTTTGATCCCAGCACTCAGGAGGCAGAGGCAGGTGGATCTCTGTGAGTTTGAAGCCAGCCTGGTCTACAGAGAGTTTTCCAGTACAGACAGAGCTATTACACAGAGAAACCCTGTCTCAGGGGTGGGGCGGCCACACTAAGTAGGAAATGCAAAGTCATATAAAGCAGATGTGGACCAGAAGTCTACAGAGAAATAACAAAACTATCACAATTTTTTAATGATAGCTAACAATATTTTTATATTCAAGGCAAGAATCCTTTCTTTGGAAAGATACCATATACAAAAGGGGAAAAATTTTTGTCTAAGTGTGCTTTTCATCTCCTAACTCTTAAGGACTGAAGCAAATACTTACATGCATGTGTTATTAATAGCATCATCTGGGCAGTGTCCTGAGCAATAGCACTTTAAGAAAGGCAAGGTATCCTCTGGGGCTAACGTCACTCCATTTTCTGGCTTCTTCTGGTCCGAGTCTGACTTCACACCAGTGCCATGGAGCATACTGTCTAGATTCTGCCCTGTATTAGAAAATGAAATTTGTAAACAATCATTCTTGAAAGCTTGTTTAATTACAGTCTTTAATGAAGAAAGTTTCTGAGTTTTCTTTTCATAATAACTGCAGTTAATACATCTTAAAAATAAATTTCAATGGGCTGTGTGACACTGGTCTTTAATCCCAGCATTTGGGAGGCAGAGGCAGGTAAATCTCTGTGAGTTCGAGAACAGCCTGATCTACAGAGCGAGTTCCAGGACAGGCTCCAAAGCTACACAGAGAAACCAAAAAAGAAGAAAAAATTCATATAATACCAATTTATAAACTATTATATACAGAACTGCCCAATTTGGCAGAGTGTATGGAGATGAGGCAGAACAGAGAGGTATTTGGCTAAGAGCTAAGTACTGGTAAACACTTTGAAAGTGTTAAATCCAGGACAGGTCCCTATTGCAAGTGCCCATTGGGCCGTGATTTTTCTTTAAATAAGCTAAACTATTTGAAACAGCCAACTGGCCATTTGATTGACAGCTGACAGACCCCTCCATGCTGCCTTCTTGCCTTAAGTGAGGAAATGTCACACTCTGACAGAGCAGCTGTTTTGAACACTCTAGAGATTCCTCTGAGGAAACTCAGCAGCAGCTTCAGGGACCACTGGAACCACTGGGACTGCTCAAGTTACAACCCAGCTTCAGGCGGCCTCACCCCTCACAACTGCTCCAGGCTCCTTTATCAAGGAGGTATTCATAAAGGACTTAAAAAATAAAAAACAAAAGCTAGTCCTAAGTCTTGAACCAAATCAAAATGAAGAGCCAGGAGGTTGTTCCACAGTGGCCACAGGAGACTACAGACTCCAAAGGACTGCCGACGCACTGAGGAGGTAACACAGCGTGAAAACTACGCCGGGATTGCAGGTAGCTAACTCAAGAGTCTCGAAAGCAGCCGGGCGGTGGTGGCGCACGTCTTTAATCCCAGCACTCAGGAGGCAGAGGCAGGCGGATCTCTGTGAGTTCGAGGCTAGGCTGGACCGACAGCCTCGAAAACAATACAGAGAAACCCTGTCTCGTAAAAACCAAAAAAAAAAAAAAAAAAAAAAGAGTCTCGAAAGTTTCCCAGAGTTAAGGGCTAAGGGATCTGATCTTAAGCTATAAATCTGCAATACTAGCTGCTGAGGACTAGTTTTCAAGGCCCAGAGTGTGCTCTGATCTGAGAACCAACAGTACTAAGCCTCTAATTTTCAAAGTCTAGAATCTGAAGTCTCCTTTGAAAGCCTGATTTGTAAAACTATGGCACTAAGGAGAGTACACAGCTGCCAACACTGAGGAATCTGTCTCGCCCATATTTGGTTACCCATGCAATGGGATCTCATCTGCTGTGTGTGACAGTTACAAGTTACTAGGTACAAAATGGGGAGAGATTTCAGGAAAGAAAGGCTGAGAAACTGTCCAATGATTTTGGGGTGGAGGGGTGCACAAGGTGATTTTTTTTTCTGTTTTTTTTTTTATTGCTTTGTTGTTGTTCAAAACTTGCAACTAGATTTAAAAATAATCTTCAAACACTTCTGTGGAAAAGGAGCTACTAAGCAACTTGCAGAGAACTCTAATTGCCTAAATAAAGGAACTGTGAAACATGAAATAAACCCTGTTATCCACCTTTCATTCCAGGGTAACTGGTTAGAATCCAGACCAGCTATCAGAAAGTGAAAGTTGCCACAGGCTTATGTAATAAAGCCAGGATCTTGCATTACAGAGCATATGGCTTCAAGTGACAGGTAACAACATAAGAGCACTGCATTTTTCAGGCCCTTCCAAGAGGAAGAATGGTAGAGCCAAAAGGACTAGAGAAGTATGAATTTTACTATAAAAATAAAGTGGTTCAGTATTGTAAACCCAATTTTAAACTTAATAACACTGAAAGACCACTAAAATGTTTGCTTTTTGAGACAGGGTTTCTCTATGTAGCTCTGGCTGTCCTAGATAGCACTCTGTTTGTTGACTAGGCTGCTCTCCAAGCCAAAGATCTGCCTGCTTCTGCCTCCCCAGTGTTGGAATTAAAGCCATGTACCATTACTGCCCAAACCATAACGTGAATGTATATGACCCTTTCTCAAATGGACAAATGGTGGGAAGACACCCAATGTCAACACTGGCTTCCACATGTAGGGGCACACCTTTGTGTACACATACACATACATACACACAAAATTTAATAAATCCTAAAGAAGAAAATGAAGATAGTGGTGATTTCTACCTCAAAAACTTTTATACAGCAATGCTAACAGTTCAAAAATACTGTCCTAAATAAACCACTGGGGAAGAAGTCTGTATGCAAATCCAATTCATCTGATCTTAGACATCACTATTAAGTTCCTGTTTGATCTATGGACATGCAGTATACAACAGAGGTCACAAATAAATTGTTTATATTCTATGGAGAAACTCTGCATAGACAAGTACATTTGTTTTCCACGATCTTCTCATGACAATAAAACAAATTTTGAATAATTATTTGTGCTTATTCTTTGTTGTATTTTAAAAGAGACAGGAATTTTAAAGCTCGGTCTCAAATACCTACCATTCTGTGTTTTAGGTCCTAAATTGCAGACTATTTATACTTACTCTCATCTGAGTCTCACAAGACAAGCCTCATGCTATATAGCTTGCCTGTTATAGATTAAAAAACGGTTCAGAAGCTAAGATTTTAAAAAGGTGTCTGTCTATATAAAGTTCACAATTCCTTCCAGCGTGTTCTTTGCTTCTTCACTTAAAGAGTTGTGTTGGTGTGGCTGACAAGTTTAGAACAAAGCATAAGCTGAGAGCAGATCAAGGAGTTTAAGTGCTTTATATACATAGAAATGACTTTCTGAAATAAGCTCAAATTTACCTTGGACATAAGAAATGATGAACAGACAGGCTCCCAATAATCTGATGTAAGTATATAGCTGAGTCATTGTTCAATGTCCACGTATCCTGTACACTGCCACTTTGAATTACCGGTCGTGCTGTTTCACTAATTTAAATGACTTTACTCAATGGGATTTCCTTTTAGAAGAAAGAAATCACTTGACAATGACTTTCACCTGCTACTTTCTTCAGATTCCTGGAAAACAAACAAACAAGGCAATGAATATTATGAAATTTTGGGAAGTTTTCAAGAGTGGAAGGGAAAACAAGCCTAACCAAGCTTGTAAATGCAGATATATGTTTTTTAAAATTTTGGTGTGTATTGGGGGCTAACTCTAGGGTCTTGTACATGCTAAAGAGTTCTATCACTGAGTTACAGTCTCAGATATGTTGGAATATATTTTTAAAGATTAAAGCTCTCGTTTTCTTAAGGCATTGTAATTATAAAGCCTAAATAATTTAGTAGAAAGTTGACTAATCACAAATCAGTCACAATAAATATACTGGATCTCAACTAACCAGTGCAGTATTGTACACACTCTTGGGGAAGCTGACAGTACAGAGATTTCTTAAGACTAGGAATTCTAAGAAAGCTGGGCAACAGCAAGACAATTCCAGCTCTAAAGAAAAGAAGAAAAACAAACAAAAACCTCATCAATAGCTTTCTCTAGTTGCCCTAATGCAATTAAATTACTTATTACGGAAGTGCACATTTTGGCTAGGTATGGTATGGTGGTACATGCCTCTAACTCTAGCTCTTGGGGGTTGGAGCCACAGAGGCAGAAAGATTGTGGGTTCTAGCCAATCTGGGCTACATAGCCGGACTGTTTCAGTTTACCCCACCACCACCACCCAAAAAGAAAGTTCCTTAGTATATTAAAACAGAAGACTGTGGTGTCAGTACACACTGTTTTAATCCCAGCACTCAGGAGGCAGAGACAGGTGGATCTCTGTGAGTTGAGTCTAGCCTGGTCTAAAGAGTGAGTTCCAGAACAATCAAGGCTACACAGAGAAACCCTGTCTTGAAAAACAAACAAACAAACAAAAAAGAAATCAGAAAAGGTTGAATTTAAAATAAAAGCTGTCCATCAATATTAATTTAAATATTCATTTGAATAAGAATATAAACACCTTGAACATTATTCCACAAACAGAAAAGACAGCCAACCTAGAAAATTTACATATTTAAATAAGCAGCATGCTCCTTTATCAAAGCAAAACCAGAAGCTATCTCTGGGGTGGGGGACTGAATGTATAACCTTAAGCTTGCTAAGCACATGCCCTAGAAAAATGAACTATACTTCCAGACTCTAGAAATGTACCTTAAATAAAGCTATTCTCCTAAAATACTCTAAATCTGAATTCATTAAGATAAAGCTGAGTTTTTAATATGGAAATCATGAAGTATAATCACTGTAGTTAAGATTTGGGTCTTAGCCAGCAGTGGTGGTAAATGCCTCTAATCCCAGCACTCAGGAAGCAAAGGTAGGTTAGTGGCTACAAAGCGAGCTCCCAAATAACAAACCCTGTCTTGGGGGAAAAAAAAAACCAACCAACCAAACAACAACAATAAGATTTGGCCCTTATTAATACACAGTAAACTCTTAAAAGACTTTTAAAACAAATTACACAGAAATAGGTAACGAAAAGAAAGGCTAATTTGTACTGAGGTTAATATAACTCTTTTTTTTTTTTTTTTTTTTTTTGCCTGTTTCAGGCAGCTTGGTTTCATTAATTTAGGCCTAAACTATTTCTAAGTGAAAAGGTTTTGCTTATTTATGACTTAACTATCCTTGGTGTGATTTCTACCAGGTAATATGCAATAAATAATAGTAAATGATCTGTGCTTTCTATATTACCTACTGAACAATTTTTTCGCTTTACATTATTGTGGAAATACAGGATATATAGACAGGTATACATTTTATAACTGATTTAAATCTAAGAGTTATTTTATATTGATTTGCTTTGGGGTTGTTTGTTTGCTTGTTTTTTGAGACAGGATCTCGCTATATAACTCAGACTGGTCTATAATTCTGGAACTTGGTGGTTTTCTTGTGTCAGCCCTCCAAATATTAGGATCACAGACATATACCACCATGCCTTACTGGTTTAAAAATCCCCACACATACAATCCCTTCCCTAACTTGTTCTTTCCTTGGACAAGAACTTATCTCCCTGAGGCTGGCAATGAATTCACCAGATAGTCAAGCATGGTCTTGAACATATGATCCTTCTGCCTCTCCCTCCTAAATACCTGGGGCTACAGGATTTTGCTACCACAATTGCTTTAAATTTTAGTAATTTTTAAAACTTCTATACTATAAATACAAACTGCTTCAAAAACATATTACCGAGATAATATAGTCTAAAATGATCAGATGAAAATGTTTGCAATGTGACAAAGCAGGATGTGTATAAAGAACATACCTCTTAACATGATCCAACTGTAATTCTAGGAATCCTTGTTGCTGGCTCCAAATTCAAAGAAAGTTTCCATATACTCCTAACCCTGGTCATTCCCTGTATTTCCATCTGCCAAGCACATATATATCTAAGTCACTCACTGCCTTTTCCTTCCCACTCTTCCAGATGCTAAGTGGAAAACAGCAACCCCCCCCCCAATAACTAGGCCAAATCCTGGTCTCTTTTTTTGCCTGCCTTGCTAGCTCTCAGTTTTTTATTCTTTTACTTATTTATCAACATTTGTAGAGAATGTATTATTGACCAAAGTAAAATACTAGAAATACAAGTATTCCAAATTCATTCACTTATTTATTTCCAAGACATGCTTCACTTTTAGCCTAGGTTAGCCTCGACTGTCTCCTGTCTCAGTTTCCAGGTGCGCATCTCATATCTAGCTTATGATTCTATTGATTTCTGCCTGAAGGAGCTCATAATCTTGGGTGGGGGCTCTACCGTGACTTGTTGTATTTCCTGTATTGGTTTCTTCATCAGTTTATGTAAAGGTGGCACTTGGGCTTGCTGACTACTACCTTACAAACTTATAGTACACAGGGCCTTTGATGTACTTTCCCTATCAGTCCTCTTCAGAGAAAAGGCTCTATTGCCATACTGACACAAGTCCAAATTCTAGATATGCCTTAAACCAGTAACTTAAAGTCCCTGAATGAGTTTTCTGTATCTTTACATAACCAAGGGGTACTCACTGGCTCACAGCTATCCTGAGAACTAATTAACACATTCTCCACTGGGCCAATACTATTATAAATGCTTTGTTAAAATTAATTTATAAAGTCCCCACAGCTGCCTCATAAGAAAGGTATAACTGAGGTGGGCTGAAAAGATTTAGTAAAGATCACACATGGCGATAGAGCTACAGTTCAAAAGGTCTGGTTCTAGACTCCATTTATTAATTGTTATTTTATACATTATATAAACTATACTATATAATATAAAACATACATTCTACATTGTAAAGTACTTAGGATTATAGTGGCACAGAGTAGGTACTCAATAAGTTTCACCTTCTCAAACATGACATGATGTGGTATATATGAGGGCAGCACCAACTGGGAAAGTCTTAATAGTTTAAAACATATGATAACTATAAAATCAATACAATAGCTGTACTAAGAACAATGCTAAGCCACCAATGTAATCTCAGGGTTAGTAGAAACACTACTATACCCCCAGAAGGTAAAAGACATAGTAATTATTCCATTTACATACAAATGGAACCAAGAGGTCCCAGAATTTAAGAGGAACAGACGGCAGAAAGGGAGAGAATACTAACTCATTAGATCCCCTATGTAAACAGTGTTCTTGCCATTGGATATTATTCCCTAATTATTGATTAAGAGCTTATTTTATGCATCAGCCTACTCCATCAAACACCAAGAATATAGTCATGATAGAGAAACAGAGCCATCTTTCATGGAGTTCACAGTCACTAAACGAGACTATTAAAATGCTATGACACGGGGTCAGTCGTAGCACAGAGGCAGAACTGTTTGTGGGAGGCTCTGCATCTCAGGGGAAGAAAATAAAAGATGGAAATACTTTTGACACAGAACAAGATGATTAAAAAATGTAAGCATATTTGCACTAAGCTGCCAGGTAAGAAAAATGTGGAACCCTGGACCTGACCGGCCAGAATTGTTCTAGATGGAAAAGCCGTGTAAGCAATGCTGAGGAGTAATACTTAAGCTGCTATGTGCAGATAAATACTGGTCAAGCTAATAGTCTGTGCAAAGATTTCTGAGAAACAGAAAAACAAGAAGCAATGCTTCTGAACCATGGCGAATTCAGTAGTGTAACACAGAAGAGGTTGAAAAGACAGAAAGGACAAGGACTCTATGAAAGATTTGGGTTTTAAATGTAAGAGAGAGGCATCAGTTACCTGGCTTTTGCATAATGAGCTAGAAAAGGTAAGAAGAGCAAAAGCAAAGCAGCAGTAAAAAGACATGAAAATAAGGAGAGAGACGACGGTGATTAAGATAAGGGTGGATATAATGAAAAACAAGACCACATAGTACGTGGTAATGGTTGAATGCAGGGGTCAAGGAGCATGACTCAAAGATGACTCATACTGCTGGTCTAAGCAATCACTAAAATGTGAATAAGCAGATTTTTGGACAAAGTGAAGAAAAAGGACTCAAGGGTTCAGATTTAGACATCTGAGATTACCCAAAAGGAATGTCTGCCGGGCATCTGGTCCTCAAGCTTAAAGGAAACATCTGGGGCTGAAGATACAAATCTTCCATTATGTCAACAGCACAGAGATATTAAAAGCTAAGGCTCTTGGATGAAAAGAGTCCCAGAGCGCTGTTTAGTTAGAAGCTGCACTAATGGCCAGGCATAGTGGTGCATACCTATAATTTCAACACGGAAGGCCAAGACAGAGCTAGAGATCAACACTGGCTACACAGTAAGACCCTTATCTAAGCTTCCTCTCCATAAGTCAAAGATCACTGTCAAGATCTGAAATACATCCACAAACACTTTGGTACATCCCTCAAGAGAGTGAAGTCTAATTCCCCTCCCTTGAGTATGGACTAGACTCAGTGACTCATTCTAATAAGTAAGATGTAAACACGGGTGACTTTTGCTACATCATTAAGAAGTACTTCAGCGTCTACCTTGATGTACTCTTACTGAAGCCAAATAGCCAGGTCTAAGCAGACTCAAGCAGTCCTACAAGGCTCATGTGGCAAGAAACAGACTTGCCAATAACCACTTGAGTGAGCAACCTGGGAAGCCTTTAGGACTGTGTTTTTTGGACATTCTGCTCACAATTTTATGAAAACCCTAAGTCAGAAACACCCTGCACCTGTCTTTTCATTTGCGTGATCAATTTTTGAGAGTGGGTCTTGATCTGAAATCAGGCTAGCCTTAAATTTGTGATGATTCTCCTGCCTCAGGCTCCCAACTGCTGGCATTACAGTCACGTACCACCATATCCCGCTGCCTTTGGTGGACTCGTGATAACACATGTGACAACAAATGTCAGCTGCTACGAGATACTGAGCTTTGGGGATCAAGAGATAAACCAATACCACTGTGGGAAACCCTGAAATGTAAAAGCCTAATCACCATGAAAGAAGTCTGAAAAAGTAGTCAGTCGAGGGAACAATACCAGCAACATCTAGACAAAATGCACAGAAAACTCTAACATTATAGATAATATGCTTCTTCAAAGAAGTAGCCAAAAGCATGCTGTTTTAAAATTATTTCTACAAGACTCATGGTGGACATGTAGAACTCAGACTCTTTCTAATTCTGAATTATTAGAGTTGTACATTTTCCTCTCTGTGTTATGGGCCCAGATCCATAAAAATGACATTAGATCATTTATCTAGGTAAAGGCAGTTTTTGCATCATACTCTAGAGAACAATTTTTAACAGACTAAATAGGATAGCAATCTGCTTAGTTTTAAATGTCAATTCTAGTGTTGACTTGTAATTTTGACAATGTTGGTTCATCTATTAAGGCCTTGCATTCCTTCATCACTAACCTAGGAGTTAGTACCTCCTACTCCGGTATTACATACTCAGTAAATAGGTGTCACTGCTATAATCATTAGTAGCAATTAAAATGTTGTGGACTTCCCTTTGTCTCACAACAACTGTTTCTACAATTATAATACAGCAGCAAAACTGTTAGCTGATTTATTTTTTTATTTTTTGAGGCAGGGTTTCTCTGTGTAATAGCCTTGGCAGTCCAGGCACTCACTTTATAGACCAGGCTGGCCTCAAATTCATAAAGACCCTCCTGCCTCTGCCTCCCGAGTGCTGGGATTAAAAGTGTGTACCACCACACCTGGCATGACCTGATTTTATAACCATACCAAGACTGATTATTTTCATTCTAACATCTGAAAATAAAATATGTGCTTTTTAAATTGCTAAGAATTTCATCAGAATCTTAATTTTTAAAATTATTGTGTGGTACTTGAGTGGAGTTCAGAAGACAACCTTTGGGAAATCAACCCTGTGCTACCACTGAATCTAGTGGTAGAACTTGGGTTCGTCAGGTTGGAGAAGGACATTCATCAGCTGAGTCATCTCACTGGTCTTCATCAGAATCTTTTCCATGAATTACAAAACTACTTTAGAAATGATACTAACAAAAGGACAGAGGCTAAGAAGATGGTCCACTCAGTAAAGTATGGGACTAGAGTTTTGATTCCCTATAGGCACATAAAAAGCACTTGGAATTATAGGCATCTGTAAAACCCAGTGCTGAGGAGGTAGAGATAGGAGTCTCTTGGTCCCATGGCGACATGGTGGACACCCTAGCTAGGAGCTCCTCCAAGTTCAGTGAAAGATCCTGCCCCAAAACTGTAAGTGACAGAGAGCCAATGGTGCACGCACACATACACACAAATACACACGCATACAGACATTTAAATGCTGCATAATCAAAAATGTAAAATGATATAAAATTAAAAAGCTATCAAATTGTCATCTAACAATTGTATATACAGATAGTTTCTTCAGAAAATAACATGAAGCAAAATTAAGAGGAAACCGTTTTTTAAAGAAAGATGATGATGATCATTGGTTTCTTGGTGGATAGCCCTAGTTGGAACTCACTCTGTAGACCAGGCTGGTCTCAAACTCTCTGACATCACCTGCCTCTGGCTCCTGAGTGCCAGGATTAAAGGTGCATCATCACCATCTGGCTAAAGATTTATTTATTTTATGTACTATGACTGTCCTGCCTGGATGTATGTCTGTGTGTATCTAGTGCCCTGGAAGTGGAGTTACCGAATCGTTAATTGCTGTATAGGTGCTGGAAACTGAACCCACGTCCTCTGAAAGAGTAGCATGCTCCCAACTCATCAGACCCACTAATTTCTTAAGTTAACAAAAAAATGTAAAACTTTACAAACAAGAAGGCTGAACTAACAGTTTAATCACAACTGAAGAACAAACAGAAAAAGAAAATCCCAAACAAAATAGGGAAAGTCTGAAGTCAGCTGAAAAAACAAGCCTGGAGTCATTCTTTCCTTTTCCTGTTAAACTTCTCCCATGCTCTTCGTTTTTACTGAATACTAGAAAGGTGTGGGAATTTCCAGCAAGTTGGCCAGCTGCCAGTTCCACAGATCTGCAAGGAAAACCCCCCTTTCCAGGGGTCTCTCCCTTAGGCAGCTCCAGGCGCCTGGCCTGACAAGCTTTCTGAGAAGGACTATTCTGGCTGCAGACTCTCTGGCTCCACAGCCATTGTTTGCATGGCAGCTCTGCTCCTTATCCAGAGCCCGGATTAGCATAAGAATATCGTCTTTTCCCTTAACAAGCAACTCATCCGTTGTCTTACCCCAATTTCTAGCCTCTTTCCCAGCAAACCTAGCCCAATATGCGCATGTGCAACTGCAGCAACGTTGGTCTGGGTTTCTCTAGTCATGATAGTTTTATAACAGTGGAAACACAATCTCATCCAAATCTGAAGAAAATAGTTTGCTTCAAGAGCTATAAGAGTATATCTGTGACAACACAAGCCAGTTTTTAACATCTAAGGGAGAAAAAAATTCTTCAGTTTGAATGTGAATAGGAAGTAACAGTCTCTGAAGCTGCTGGCAGCTACTTTGGGACCAGAAGACAAACCAGACCCTAGGAAATGATGGATACTCCAGCAATGAAGCCTCAATTACTCAGGCAGAGCCAGTAAACTGCCAGTTGTGCGGTACACACCAGCAGGACTTGCTGATGGAGGAGAAGGCAGGCAGATCTTTAAGTTCCAGGACAGCCAGGGCTACACAGAGAAATGCTGCCTCAACAATCAATCAATCAATCAATCAATCAAACAAACAAACAAACAAAAAGAAGCAGCAGTCCACAAAACAAAATGCCCACAAATTCCAGTGAAGTTTTGAGATCACTGAAAGTTTTTCTGTGACAATCAAAAGCATTCCCCAAGATGAAGATTAAGAAACAAAGGCACAAAATCCAATAAAAAGAACTAACTAAATAAAAAGACAGGCAGACCTGAGTACTCTAGGTTAGTTTAACATACAATGAGTGGCTGAAAGAGCTCGCTGTTCTTTCCCAGACTCAAGTTCAAGTTCTAGCCCAGAGACCACCTGACCCACAACTACCTCCAGGGGACACAACACTCTTTTCTGGCACCCACAGCACATGCGCACATATGGCAAATGAGTGTGCATGCGTGCATGCATGGACGCAGACACTCTTGAAGGGATGAACATTATTTGTAAGATGGAAGTATTAAAGTTATTAATTCATAAGGAAGGTGACTCAAGAAGCTGAGCAGTTACCGCCAAGTTCTGGTGTGACAAGGAAACTGAAGACTCTCACATGAAGCTGCAACGGTGACACAGAGAGACTATTTTCAAAAATTAAGAAGGCATTTTCTATGACTTGATTTTTAAAAATCTTTTCCTTACCTCAAGGATGTGGCTAGATAAAACGTTAGTTCCAAGCAGCTTCGACCTATGCTTCCATCTCATGAATTCCAAGACAGTATCAAACCGATGCATATTTTCATAAATCTGCTTTAAAAAAAAAGACTTAGTTAAGAAAAATGTTTATTGTCAAAAGAAAATGTATAAAATAAGCACTAAGTATGTCAGAGGTAAAATTAATAGTTTTCAGGGTAAAGTCAATGAATAGCTACTGACCAAAGAAGAGCATATAGTTCTATAGAAAATAAAACAATTAAAAATGTCCACATTAAGCTTCAAATTCTAATGAACAGTATTAAAAAGAAAAAGCATCCAGGAACTGCTGAAAACAACATGAAAGGTACCGTTCTCTTCCCTCACTCTTCCTCCTGGTGCTGTGCTGTAATTCTTGTGCATTTACTGTGGCGGGGAGGGATCCCCCACCCTTGCAGTGCCACTGAGCGAGCAGAGGGTGGAGGGTGGAGGGTGGGGGACAACCTGCAGCCACTGATTCTCCCGCAGTCCACCACATGGGGCCTGGAAATTGAGCTCAGGCTTGGCAGCCAATTCCTCTGCCGGTTGAGCTATCTTGCTAACCCTCTTACCACAAAATTTTTTTGTTAGCTTTCTGAGGCAGGGTCTTACTATGTAGCTCGGGCTGGCTTCGTACTCCTGGTTAGACCAGGCTGGTCTTGAACTCACAGAGATCTTGTGTCTCTGCTTCCCTAGGGCTAGAATTAAAGGTGTGCATCACCATTCCCAGGCACAAAATCTAAATAACCAGTTTCAATTTCATTCCAACTCCTATTTATACTAGGATTTGTAAGGGTATTGCATTTGATTGTACTGGTCCAATTCTGGGTGGCAGATTTCAACCACACTAATAGCATCTTTAAGGACTATTGCTTCAAGGGACATTTGTAAAAATGAAAAGTGGAAAACACTAACAATTTTTTATTTATTTAAAAATATACATATTTGGGGGCTGGAGAGATGGCTCAGCGGTTAAGAGCACTGGCTGCTTTTCCAGAGGGCCCAGGTTCAATTCTCAGCACCCATATGACACCTCACAACTCCCTGTAACTCCAGTTCCAGGGGACCTGACACCCTCATACCAATGCACATAAAAGAAATTGTTTAATGATATATATGTTTATTTGGAGCTTGTTTTCTTGTTTGTTGACACAGGTCTTACTATGGACTCTAGGGCTGGCCTGGAACTCATGATCCTCCTTCCTAGCCTGAAATTTTAAAAACAATTCCACTGAGGGCTTTTTTTTTTTAAGCTAAGATTTCAAATAGGAAAGCACTATTTCATATTTCTGAAGGAAATCTGGGGGAGGGGGCTTTCTCTGTGGCTTTGGAGCCTGTCTGGAACTAGCTCTTGTAGACCAGGCTGCTCTGGAACTCTGCCTCTGCCTCCTGAGTGCTAAAGGAAAATTTTAAAAGCAGTACAAACAGAACCTATGTCCCACTACAAGGTTAAATGTCTTTGCCTTCAGAACATTTAATATGACAGCAATAATAACTAAATTCACATCAACTGGGACAACTCAAAACGGTCCAGCATATCAGTCTTCCTTAAAGACTCTATGCAGCAGACAGGCTGCCACAGCTAAATCTCTCATTGTCCAAGAATGAGCATGACCCTGACAGCAATTAGTAAAACTGCCTGCATTGACTTAGCTTTTCAAACTCCTCATATGTAATCTACAACATAGCCAGGCTTAGAATTTTTCAGATCTACTCTTAGACTGTCACAAGAGAAATGAGGGAGGATAGAAACAGATTTGAAGGACTGGTGCTGTATTTTTCCAATCCAAAATCTTTATAATCTTAGAAGAATTTCCCCTAAATTAATAAAAAAAAACCAGCACATTATGGGTCTACTTTTTTGTTTGTTTGTTTCTGTTTTTCAAGACTGGATTTCTCTGTGTAGCCCTGGCTGTACTGGAACTCACTCTGTAGACCAGGCTGGCCTCAAACTCACAGAGATCCATCTGCCTCTACCTCCAAAGTGCTGGGATTAAAGGCATGTGCCACCACTATCCAGCTATGCTTCCACTTTAGAAATGGCATATTTTACTCCAAAGTCATTTGGGGGAAACTGTGTATGAGTCTACCTTAAAAATGTGTACAGAAGTAGAGATGACATTATCATTGTGCTAAATTAATTTTCATAAAAGTAAAAATAGTTCACTGATGTATCATTATTTAAACATCAAACTTTATTCTAATTCTATCAGATATTTGCAATGGATCAAATGATTAATAACATGCAAAAACTATTATTACAAGAAAGAACAAGATACAGGCTTGAAGATTATATTTACGAAGTACACATGTTAACAAGTGACTCATGAATAATATATGAAGCCACCTCAAAACTCAACAATAGGGGTGTGAGTATAGTTTAGTGGTTGAATGCTTGACAGAACCAACACGGCTCAAGGTTCAATATCCAGCACTGGCGGAAAAAAATAAAATTCTATAGTAGAAAAAAAATTGAACAAGCAAATAGTTTTTTGAGGGTGACAGACATCTTATTTAAGAGGTCATATGAACAGCAAATAAGCACGTAGTCACTGAGAAATGCAAATTAAGCCTGGCAGAGATATCACTGCACACCTAATAGGATAGATAAATTTAACACAGTGGCCAAGGACCAGTCAACATGGAAAGAAAACAGATTTTCCCAAATACAGGTGATGAACATGCAAAACAACACAATCGCTTTGGAAAAGAGCTTGGAAATTTCTTTTTTTAAATTTATTTTATGTAAATGAATGTTTTGCTTACATGTATGCACTATGTGTGTGTCTGGTGCTCAAGGAGGCCAGCAGAGTATTGGATATCCTAGAACTTAAGTTACAGACAATGGTGAGCTGCTGGGCTGAAACCTTGGTCCTCTTCAAGAGTAACAGTGCTCTTAACCTCTGAGCAGTCTCTCCAGCCCAGCAATTTTATTTGAAAAACTAAATTTACATAGCAACCAGGCCACCATGGTGCACCCCTGTATTCTCAACTCCCAGGAAGCTGTGGTAAGAGGATAATATGTCCCTGTCAATCTAGGCTACATGCTACATAGGAAGATTGTGTTTCTTCCTTCCTGAAAACACCCTAATTAACTCACAACCCACTGACTGACTCCTAGACATTGACAAAAGTTCTCTGCTTGGCAAAAGTTCTCTGAATTTTCTTCTATGCAAATCTGTTTGCCTTCACCTAAAATCCAGCTTTAAACTAAGCTGACTTATCAGGACCCTCCATTACCACATATCTGATCAAGTCCCTCTGTCCTCTTTATCCTCCCAAGTGATGCTGTATCACCTTGATCTGGCTCGACTTCAGAAAAAAGAAATCCTGTTATATAGGTTTAGCAAGAATATCTGCTTAGCCTATGGCTCTCTTCTTAGTCATTTTCCATTCACAAACCCCCATACCCTGCTCATTGGCTCTAGATACCCACCAGTCATGTATTTGGAGTTAAACTCAATCTTCCCCTATGATAAAACAAGACTTTGATGTAGTGATGCTACAGCAATGGTCCTCAAAAGTCTTCTTTGGAGGATTAGAGAAGTGATTCTGTAGTTAAGAGTGCTTGCTGTTTCTCTAGAGTTTGGATTGCAACATCTACATCAGGCAGCTCACAGTCATCTCTAACCCAGTGTCAGGACGCCCCACGCTGCCTGCCTTCCTTCTGTGCTCCACCGGCACCTGCACATACGTGCCATACTCTCACAAGGACATATGAAAGTAAAAATTTATTTTTATTTTTGAGACAGGGTCTCACTATGTAGTTCTTGCTGTCCTGGAACTCAGACATCTCACCTGCCTTTGCTTCCTGAGTGCTACAATCAAAAGATGTATGTCACCAAGCCCAGCTAAAAAAAATCTTCAAAAACACAGAAAAGAAGGTCTTCCTTTATTTACCCTATTTAAAGTCATCAGCAAACTTGCACTTTGCCTAGCACGTTGCAAGATCAGGGTTCAATCCCTAGCACATCAAAAAACAAATACATAAAACATGAAATAAATTTGGAAATGACCCCTCATAACTAACTACATAAAACTTTGGGTCTTGGTAGAATGTTTAATAGGTTTGAGGCCTGTGTTTAATCCTCAACAAAGAAAGAAGGGAAGCCGGGCGGTGGTGGCGCACGCCTTTAATCCCAGCACTTGGGAGGCAGAGGCAGGCGGATCTCTGTGAGTTCGAGGCTGGGCTGGACCGATAGCCTCCAAAACAATACAGAGAAACCCTGTCTCGAAAAACCAAAAAAAAAAAAAAAAAAAAAAAAAAAAAAAAAAGAAGGGAGGGGATGGGAGGGGCCAAGAGAATTAGTAAGGCGGAGCTACATAGGCAACCAGGGCTAGATGAGACTTTTGAAACCCAAATGCTCAGAGTACCTTTATTTTAATAGGTTAAAAACCAGAGAAACAAATTATTGTGCTTTGATAAACTAAGGTCTGTCATAATCATGAAATCATACTCAGCCACTGAAAGGGACGAATGGTTGATGGACATAACTTGATTAGATGCCCTGTGCATTTCCACCTAAGAGCATTGGGTTTACAGCTGTATGCTGCTTTTTACAGTGGCTAGAAATCCACACAAGCATTTTATCTACTTTTACCCACTCAGCCATCTCCTCAGCCCTATACTTTTGTTGAATGGAAAACAACTGTTCTTTTTTTTTTTTTTAACCCGCCCTTTGTTTTTCAAGACAGAGTTTTTCTGTGTAGCCCTGGGTGTCCTCAAACTCAGAAATCCACCTGCTTCTGCCTCCTGAGTGCTGGGATTAAAGATGTGTGCCGCCACCATCCAGCAAAAAGAACTACTCTTACAAAAAGTTCAAATCAACTTCAGTTTTGATATTGTGCTGTTGGTAGTAAGAATTAAAGGAAAGATAAATGGCAATATGGAGCTTCTCTTTACTGTATTTCAAAATTATGATTTAAAAATTTCTAAGTGCCTGGGTTGTATAGGGAAGACGGTCTGGGGGAAAGGCACCCTTGGAGCACAAGACCAAAGAAAACAGCAGCTCCCAAGCCAACTCTTGAACCTTCAGTCTTAGGTAAGGACGGTTCCCTGCCCTCCTGCCTGGCCC